GGGTTGCTGGCGCCCAGAATGCTGACTTGGCTGGTGTGTCAGAAGCAAGTGTGAGTGAAGCGCCATACCAATTCCGGTTGCCGCCACCTTGGCCACAGCTAATTTATTATGATAGATTCGTAGGGCTGGTGGCTGGAATCATAGCGACGCCATGACCGGCTACTATCTCACCACCCTGCCACGAGAATTTATGAGGGCAACTGCGGACTTCGATCCCGATTGGGCTGGTTCCTACCACATACCAAGGTCAACAATCAGGCCGCCGGAAGCGCTGAGAGGTCTGGTGTGGCCAGAATTGGAGTATTGGCAGCGGAAATATAACCGGAATGAGGTCCAACAAGATAAGGCCGCTGGCGCCTTCTTGGAGTTACTTCAGTGGCCGCGTGACGTCCTCCTTCAGGATGCGGCTTTCCTGATGGCCAGCTACCCAGACCATCCTATCTTCAAGAGTAACGTCTTCCACACCGAGGAGTTCCTGAATTTCGCTGCCAGCGTCAGGGAAATCCACGAGACTGCTTCCAACGATCCCTATTATGAGATAGTCGAGCAAGCCATCCCAGCGGTAGCTGAAAAGCTTCGGCTGGTGGCCACCCAACAGGCCGATATCTTGAGGTCCAACCAGACACTAACGGCCCACCTTACCCGCCACCTCCGGAGAAGCCATCTGGCACCCCGTGCATATTGATCAGATCGGCTCTGCAGGCATCTATTATGCCGACTACCTAGAAATAGCGCAGCAGTGTCGCGAATACATGCACGCACATGAAAAACTACATCTCGAAGGTCACGAAGGCTAGGTCGCCACGTCGTTGGGGGGCTATCCTACAGAGATCACAGGGTTACTAAGCAATCGAAGTCTGTGTGGCAGCTAACACCGCCTGAAGATGAAAGCGCTTGATAATTGAAGACTTGTCATATTGAGAAGCCTGATATATTGTTCAATGGGGGGGCGGGGGGGGGGGGGCGGTACCATTGGTAACCGCGTACCCGGCGTAGCTACCCTTATGGAATACGGAGCCTTCTAAAAGACCAAGCAGCTATAAGCTAATGACTGAGATAGAGGGTAGGGAGGCCCGACACCAATCAAGTCAGTTCTTGTGTCGCCGATTCGTTGGTGAGGACCGAAATTCTGCTGTCTCTTTTCACTGGTTGCCATCTCAGGGTTGTTCCTTCATGAAAATGGCCTGGATAAAATGAAGGCAATTACTACACGGGCATGACTCTTACACGGGCATGACTTCTATCGCCTCTGATTCGCTCATTCTTTTCCTTCGACCCACAGGTACATCAGTGCAAAGGCGGTGAAGCAAGCTCTCTTAACAAGGCCGTGCTTTCGGTATAGTCAGAACCAACCAGGTCAACCAGGCCTCTAGAACAGGTCTTAGGCGTATATCAAAACAAGGTCTGGTTTTCAATACAGAACACGGCCAATTCCAGCACGCCCTAGAGGGCGGCTATCTATATCTCTACCCTCTAACTACTATAGATGGAAGAACCTCCTCGTCGCTGTCAAGCAGCTCCCACTGACTCCTTCGCCTGCGAATGCTAGATTGCGTCTTCCGTCCGTTGGCACGTACTCCTGTAGTTCTTCCAGCTCCAAGAACAGCTGACCGGCTGCGCGTCTGGCGCTGGGATGAGGCACTGGCCTGGCTACTAGCCTGGCTGCTGGCCTGTTGGCTCGCTTCCAGAGCAAGCCTAGCTAGCGTTGACTTGTTGTGACTTCCTGGTGGTCGACCTCGTCTGCGCCCTGTCGCTTGGCTTGCTGGATTGCTGGCTCGTTGGCTACTCGGCTGGCTGCTTGCCTCAATGGCTAGCCGCGCTGGAACAGCCTGTGTGGTGTTCTTAGGTCTGCCACGGAGAGCAGTGGCGATCTTAGGGTCGAGGATTCGTCGGTATGGATCTCGAGAGGATGGCTCTCGTAGGCGCCACCGAGGATGGACCTCCCATTTGGTGAGAGGCGTGCCACTCACCAGCTTTGAGTAGATTGTGTGGCAGCAGGGGATTCCAAGCTCGGTCGAAACCGAGCAGTCCTCACTGCAATCGCCAATGGGGTCAGGGAACGGATTCTTCCCCGTCGGCATTGCTTTCCTTGCTAGCCGATATTGTTTGTTGATAAGCCCGAGGCCCTTCGAAGAGAGTGCTGTCCGGGGTTCGCCTAGATACTCCGAGCTGGACCCTATGTACTCTCGCGCGGTAAGTACCTCGTCCGCTGCGCAGGCGTCGTTGAAATCTCGCTCCTGGTCCTTCATCATGTCTTGCATAGCCTCGATAAGCCGATAGAGATTGCTCATACCATTCAGGAGATAGCTCTTGATGTTGTTGTTGCTTGCTTCTGTCCTAGATGTGACGCGGATGCCGAAGTTGCGATAGTTGCGAATGAAACATCGTGCCCACTGCGCCCAGACAGGCATGTAGGTTCCATGGAGATACCACAGGATGGCCCGCTGATCGTCAAATTCCCTACAGAGGCTTCCCCACGCCTTCTCGTGAGCCTCCTCTGTCTCCGCAAACAAGACGACCTTCCACATCATGAGAACCCCTCGATGGCTATGAGGGACGACTTCAGCTGTCTGCGCGTTTACCAACTGTCCGTCTTTCGGGCCGAGCTCAGCCTGTGCCTGTGGAGCGTAGTCCTCACCGTTGCTGCTGTCGGGACTACTACTGCTACATTGGCCCTTGACCCACTTCTGCTTTGACTTGAGCAAGACGTTAGAATTGATGTGGTGGATGCACAGCTGCTGCTGTGCATCAGGGAACTGATCATTCAGGGCGGCCTTCATCTGACCGTCGAAGTCAGTAATGATAACGTCCGATTGGCGAATAGAGTGCTGCTCTGAGATCTGTCGAATGCTCTCAGAGAGGAACTGGAACCCCTCCCGTCTCTCGTTGTCGATCAGACCGAACGCCGCATTGTAGACAGAACCAAGGCAGGTCTGTCCTGTTGCTTGGAATAATGGAAGCTTGAAGCGGTTGGTGTTGTATGTGTTGTCGAAGCTGGTGACCTCAGGAAACCGCTTCCACATCTGGAGGCAGTACGGAAAGGTCCAGACAAGACTGACGAGGCGGTGTGGCTCATCATCCGCCCACTTAACAAGATAGGGAATCTCCATCTCGTCGAACAGCTTGATCAGTGCTGCAGTAGGAGTGTGGCCGCTCAACTTGTCTCGGCTGATACGAGACCTGGCGTTATAGATATCCTTTCGTGTAAAGGATGACTCGGGATGCTGCTCCAGGACGATCGCGCGTACGTCACGGGCCCGAATTCCGACCCGACGGCTTGTCGATTCGACTGTTGCCCTGATAGGTGTAGTGAGTCGTCTGTGGGAGGGATGGGCGGATGGTTTGATACTGGCCCCGTGGTTATGCTGGCTATGCTCGGAATTATCGTGGTGTCGTAGAAGCCATCTACCCTCCTCCAGTGCTTCGGCAATGACCATCCATTTACAACCACAATTTCGAGACTTCCGTTGCCGAATACCGGTACTCTCTGAGGGGCGTGGTTCTCCGAATCGATCGCATTGGAAAGAGTACCGGATCTTCCGACCCTTATATGAGTAGGCCTTTCGTCGAACAATACCGAAGCCATTAGCCTTCGCGAAAGTATTCACCCACTCGAACAGGACTTCGGCTGACGGCGCTGGGTCGCCTGGGATAGGTGGGTTCGGGATCGGGTCAGGGACAGGCGACAAGGGGTGGTCGGGCGAGGGCGGCTAGGCGATAGGCGGAGAGTGCCTTTCTCGGGGAGGCGAGTATGGCGGAGTTGATTCGAATGCAGTTGAACTGGGCGGCGAGTAGCCCCATATCTCGCGCCATTGGCGGACTCGTTCGTATGACCGGACGAGCTCGATGGTAAGTCTTCGATCTGTCCCAATCACCTCGCGCACTAGCCTAAGGGCGGACTGAAACTGGGGTCTTGTTGGAGAGAATTGTTCTTGTGCTGATTGTTGTGGAGAGCAGGCAGGTGGCTGGTCGATTTCCGGGCCTGGTATAGGCATTCTTACTCGTTGCGACCGTCTTCCTGGGGTTGGGAAATCATTCGATAGGTGAATCTCATGATCGAATCGCAGCTCCCATGGTGGCTCGTTCAGCCCACGCGATCCATGGGGGCGTGGAGCGGTCGTGAAGGTCTCTGGGTACGAGGCGAAAGCATTATAGAGTGCCTCGTCGTCTCCCACGCCATAGTGCGGGCCAATGCTCGTCCCTGTGCTATTAGACGAAGGTGGTCTTGAACTCTCAGATTGGTTCTGCCGCTGTCGTTTTCGGGGACGTAATTGATAGCTTCGTAGTCGTTGGTTGCTTGCTGAGCTAGATCGAGAGTCGGGCTGGGACATAATGACGGCCTTGATCGCGACAGGAAGAGTGTCGCACGCACGGATGAGAACATGGTTAAAGGGGCAGTTGATTTGACTATGAAAGAAGGAAAGAGGGGACCAATTTCAGCACAAAGGAATGACCTGCTTTGTGATTCAGATGCCTTGGAAGATGAGGCTATTGGATATTCCTGATACAGCGTGTGTTTGAGTGTTGGTCTCAGCAGGGGGCCTAACACACCACGCCTGGAGCCCTGTGACCTTGACAAATATGGTATCTTTCACGAACAATCATTATCAGTAGGCTTGACATGCGACAAGAGGTAATTGGTGTAGTAGCTAGCTAGTGAATAGCTTCCATATGTCTCGTCGATCGTCGTGGTGGAGAGCTAATCCCGAGGTACAAGGGGAGCGTTGGCAGAATCTAGATGCACTAACAAAAAGGGATGGACCAATCAGAGGCTGCAAAAGGTCATGCCCGTGTAAGAGTCATGCCCGGGTAGCAATTCTTCATGCCCGTGTAGTAATTGCCCAGTGCTAAGAATAGCAGCGGCAGGTCCTCATATTCTTGCTCACGTTTTTGTTGTGACTGCGAATCTGGGGATGATCCATTGGGCAGGCCCTGTTGCTTGGCACTCGCATATCTCGAAGACGCAAGTCCATTAGACTGCGCTCTATCAGATTTGAAGTGCACGGCAGAAACTGGTCGATTTGAGCACAAACTAGACTACACAGGTATCCCCTACTTTGAGGTGTCCAAGACATATCTGCCCACAATCTCGCCCTGCTGCATCTTGTCATACACACTCTGCAGCTCCGACATTCCGACGACCTTGAACGGGGCGTTGATCAGGCCTCTGCGGAAGAACTCGATGGCCTCGGCGCTATCCTTGCGGTTGCCGACATACGACCCCTTGATGGTGACCATCTTGACCACCGAGTCGAACACGGGCGCCCGGAGGTACGCGCCCGACGGCAGGCCGATGCACACGACAGTGCCGCGCGGGCGGACGTACTCGGCGGCCTGCTGGAAGGGCTTCTCGTTGACGGCGACGAGCAGCACGGCGTGCGGGCCGAGGCCGTCGGGGGTGGCCTTCTTGACGTCGGCCACGACGTCCTTGGACTGCATGAAGTCGACAAAGTGGTCGGCGCCGAGCTGCTCGAGGCAGGCCTTCTTCTTGTCGGCGCCCGTGTCAATGGCAATCACCTTGAGCCCCATGGCCTTGGCGTACTGCTGAGCCAGCGAGCCCAGGCCGCCGCCCGCGCCGACGATGGCGACGGTCTCGCCGGGCCGGGCCCCGGACTCCTTGAGGCCCTTGTACACGGTGATGCCGGCGCACAGCACGGGGGAGATGGCGTCGAGCGGCACGTCCTTGGGGATGCGCGCGACGTGGGCCGCCTTGGCGATGCAGTACTGCTGGAACGTCCCGTCGACCGTGTAGCCCGACAGCAGCGCCTTGGCGCACAGCGGCTCGTCCGCCTGCTGGCAGAAGTCGCAGGCTAGGCACGAGCCGTTGAGCCACTTGACGCCAGCGTGGTCACCGATCTGGGCAAGAGAGAGGAAGCTGAGTGTCAGCAGGACGATTTACAAAGAATGATGAGGGAAACCTAAGGGGCCCCCAAGGCCAATGGAGGAGGGGGGGAGGGGAGGGGACAGGCACTCACCTCGATGTCCTTGACCAGGTCGCCGCGGGCCACGACGACGCCGGCGCCCTCATGTCCGCCGATCAGGGGCAGCTTGCGGTCCAAGGGCCAGTCGCCGTTGAGGGCGTGCAGGTCCGTGTGGCAGACGCCCGTGAACTTGATGTTGACGAGAACCTCGTCCGGGCCCGGCTTCTGCACCGGGATCTTCTTGTACTCGACCTTGTTGTTTCCGTCCTCAATCACCTGCGCCCACTGCTCGTTGGGGATCTTGTGCGGCGACATGGGGGACAGTGCTAGTGCTATGGACTAGGTGAATGGCGATGTTGTTGCGGTCTTCTCTTGAAGCTCGTCTGTGAGTAAGAAGGGTTTGGCAAATAAGAAAGACTCAGGACAATCGCGATGGCAGCGCGGCATTATATACTTTTTCCACCAGCGATACGATGACGATGCGCTCCTCTAGTCTTCTTCTACACTACTCATATCTATTCTGCGCCACAGTACCTCTACGCTGTTCTCTCGCTCGCTGACCGACCCTGGCCTGATACCGCTGTATCAGCCCCGTTCGTGTACTTTTACGGTGGCTGTGCGAGTGCGGGGTCGGAGAACTCTAAGTGTGATAGTGCCCCCCCAGGTAGCGATTAATCGACTACCGTTATATAGACCGTTCTTTAGGTCTCCCGCGAGAGAGGGCGCGTAGCGCCCTGTCGAAGTCTCGTGAAGACACTGCTCGATCATCTGTGATGCAACCGTGTGCAAGGGATCTGTTGGAGTTGGGCGCCGCAGACGGGGGCAACGGCGATGCGATGCCTGCAGGTGTGGCGGCATTCTCTGAGAAAATGAAGTCGTCGATATTCATCGCGTCTACCGTGCTGACGGCGTTTTCGGATGATTTTCGAAGCTGAGCAATGCCGCTCGGAGCATTCTGCATTGGTGGTCGCACGGTTCTGTTGTACAGCAACGCAAGGTGGGCTGTCAGCAAAGGCGCGGCGAACATGGGAGGAGCCTCTGTCTGAATGCCGCCCCAGCTCGCTAAAAGTGTCAACCCCTCCACGATGCCATCATAAGGACGTGGCTGGACAGGGACGAAGAGACATTCAAGGCGACATGAGGGCGACATACAGTGAAGAAGGAAGTGCGTACCTGAACTGCTGAAGTTTTGCAGCGCGCTGCTTGCGAATCTCGACGGCCATCATGCGCCATGTCAGATTCTCCATACGATCTTGATCCGGCAGCTGCTGCTTCGTTCTGCTGAAAAACTTCCAGACCTGCATCGCCAGGGGATCCTCCTGCTGCATCTGAGAGAGACTCTTCTGCTGAGCAGCATTGGCCTCGCCAAAGGGTGGAAATAAGGGCGTGCTGAGCAAACGATGACCCGCGGCTGCGCTTGTCTTGTCAAGCATACTGACGTCGAGGATGCGGCGATCATGGTCGCCGAGCTGCCGACCGTCAGGTCTCCTTGGAAAGCGGTAATCGTGTTCCATGGTTGTGGGATTCATTTGCAGAAATCTCGAGGGTCAAGTCTCAAATCTCGCGGCAGACCGACGAACGAGGCTGTGGTCAGCGATACGATGGCGGGAAGTTGTTGGTGAGTCGACCAAGAGGAGCGACAGCCGAGGAAGCCGCTCGTTAGGCTGAAGTGTGCTGTGCGCCTTGGCCTATGTGCCACCGTGACAATTAGCGTGGTCGGCCCACCGAGGGTACGAACGAGCATCAACTGAGCCGCCAGAAGACATTTTTGCACAACCACTCGACTGTCTGCCACACCTTCCAATCTGCTTCAGTTCCTTTCCACGGACAAAGAAAGGGTTTCTTTTCGGTAGAAATACGAGCTGCGACTTGGTCCTCAGCTATCAGGGCGTTTCCAACATCCACTTCAGCATTACTTTCGATGAGCACAACCGACTCATCATCAAAGATTGGAACTCCTTGGTCGGTACCACAGTCGCATACGATACGGACTATACAGAGGCACGTCGAGACTTCCAGTGGATCATCCGTGGTCACGATGTCCCGGATCGAAAGCACATAATCGTGATCACGATACCCAGCATCGTAGCCTTCCAGATCGTGGTGGCTCGGCACGATATGATGGATCCAGCATATCACGACAAGGCCAACCGCTTCAAGCAGGGCCGCGCAAGTGCGGAGGCTCTCCTCTACGATGCGCGTCTGTCATACCCACCGACAAGATCCGGCACGGGAGTCCACACCCCCCACCAGGGAGCAATCTACGTCAGGTCGTCTCTTGGAGGGGACACACACGGCTTTGTGAACCATCTCTGGAACGTCAGCACTGGTGTAGAGACAGTGGAAAAGGTCCCTTCGCCACTATCGATCCAAAGGAAGAGCTACCATACAGAAATATGGCAGAAGGAAGCTGCCATCATGAGTCGACTCTCCCACGTTAGTGAAGACCAGTTGCTCTAAAGCGCAAACTGCTAATCGTTACAACAGGACAAGATCGTGAGACTCCTGGCATGCTCTTTCAATCCAACACCGCGACTCGAAATGGAATATCTGCGAGGCGGGGCTCTTGACAGCTACACGGATCTAGCATATCAGGAGGTCTTGTCGATCACCAGCCAATGCCTGTCCGCCCTAACGTATATGCACGAGCTGAAGCCGCCGGTCGCCCATCGAAATATCAAGCCGGCTAATATCCTTGTCGACTACCGCATTGGAAATCGAATCGCTATCAAGCTTGGGGGTTTTGGTCTGTCGGAGCAGAGTGTCTTGGAAACGCAGTGCGGCACACCAATATATCTAGCACCAGAGATCTCACGAGCTGCGATGAGTCGAAGCCCATCCTACACAGTTGCTGTCGACATCTGGTCTCTTGGTGTCGTGGCGTATGAGCTGGCGATCGGTCTTCCAGCGTTCGAGGGACATCACAGCCAAGGGACCCTACGGCCGGCTTGGCTCGAGAACCAGATCAGGTGCACTGACGGGCTCCTGGCTGATTTTTTGGCCAAGAGGATGCTGGTGTGCGACAATGAGCATCGGAGTAGTGCAAGAGTATGCTGGTTCTACCTGGACCAAATTCAGCACAAAGACGACCCTCTTTACAACTTGACCGAAGCTCTCCGCCAACGAGGTGGATTTCAGACAACAGCTACCACCACAAAGTCCACCACCGAAAGCACGCTCACGTCGCGCTACAATACCTGCTTACAGCCACGTTCACTGGCGCCTGACAACTTCGAGGGACAGGCGGAGTGCGATCAATCCGAGAACTATACCACAGATCCTCTGGATTCACCTATGGCCGGATCGACCTTGGCTTCGTTGGGCAGAGGCCATGACTCTTCGCTGTCCAATTTGACCGAGCTCGGGGCCTCTGGGAGCGACTCGCGCCCCGCAAAGCGGCAGAAGATCCGCCTCGCCTGTCAGAGCTGCCGCCACCGCAAGGTCCGCTGCGACGGCGGCCGGCCTGTCTGTGCCCCGTGCCAGCGCAAGGGCCGCGGGCTATACGAGTGCCTGTACCTCAAGCCCGGCGGCGGCAACGATCTGGCTGGGACGACATCGCACTTTGTTGGTAAAGAGGTGGTAGTCGTTCCCACTCTGGTTCTCAGCCACGGAATTCCGCCAGAGCTTCGTCTTCCTCCAACAGTGTCGCGAAGGAGAGCGGTGTGAACATGTGGCCCTCGAAGTGGGCATACTTGGATTGAGCCTCGACCCATTGCAGACGGAGAGAGTGAAGCTATGAGACGGTCAGTGATGAGTACAAAAAACGTCTTGGTGGACGCCGGCCCCCCAAAACTTACCATAGCACTGCAGCCTTCCATTGCAATGAGAATAGCGCAGGAGAGGAAGAACCACATGTAGAAGACAATGACCAGGAAGATGGCACCACCAATGCCACCGGCCTTCAGGCCAGAGCCAAGGGTCATGTCCCACAGAACGATACTGAGCTGCTGATGAGCAAGCGACAGAGCCCAGAGACGCAGGTAAGAGGCAGTATGAGAAACGCAGTTGAGACAAAATTCTGATATCGTCGATTAGTGGAAGCCCGAAACACATACCAAGACAGGGAATACATACCGATCGTGTGGATGACCTGGTGGATCATCTCTTCACTGAACTCAAACACGTGATGTCCATCGCCGTCCTCGTCGTCATCATCAGCGTTACCGTTCTGGGCAAGTATAGCAGCACCCTCGCCGCCATCCATGTCGATGCTGATGCGACCGTTGGCGCGTCCGTCATCGTCGTCATCAATGGCAGACACTCGTGATGGCTCACCAATGCCTCTGTATCCCTGTCCACGAGCCTTGTTGTGCTCCCATCGCAGGTAGAACGGCTTCAGGAAGAGCATGATTGGAACCTGAATGAAAGCCAGAAGTAGGAGGCAGGTCTGCACTGTTGCCTGCCCCTCGTAAAATTTGACGTCAAGCTTTCCAGGCCGGAGGAACATGTAGATCAACATGTTGAGCAGGCCAGGCGGTTTCTGGCCAGTCCCGAACCAGTCCACGGACCACTTATAGATGATACAGACAACCAGATAGCCAAAGATTGACTGGAAGAAAATCATGCCGGGGATGAAGTTTCCCCAGATGTCGATGGGCTTCTTATGGTGACGGGCGTTGAAGTACGACAGGCAAAGGGAATAAGTCATGTGTGCCCAGCCCAAAATGATGGACATCTTCATCTTGTAACTGTTGGAGAAGAGAAGAGCGTTGTCGGTGCCGTGCCAAGCCCAGTCGAGGCCGAAGGGGTAACGGTAGTGCTCCTTGGGCCGCGCAAGCAGAGCTTCACCTTCCTTCCACCCTTCAGGAACAACCCATTCCCATCCGCTGTCAAACAGCGTGAGCGACTTGGAAAAGACATCGTTGTAGATCAAACCTGTAAAGACGGAGAAAAGGGCCATGACCAGAGCAATGTAGCGACCGTAGTAGATCATAGCGAAGAGTTCGAAAGTGACCTTCTTGAGAGGTTTCTCCCAGTAGATCATAGCCAAAGCCGCACTGAGCATGATGATGGCATGGCCAAGATCACCAAACATTACGGCGAACAAGAAAGGAAAAGTGACGATGGCCGGCAGGGCAGGGTTGACTTCCTGGTAAGAAGCAGTTCCGTAAGCATTGATGATGGTCTGGAATGCCTCGGTGAACTTGTTCGTCTTCAGGTACGTCGGTGGAGTCTTGTTGGTCTTGATCTCGTTTATGATCGAGGGGACCGACAGTCCCGCCTGGTTGGTGACGTCTTGGAGAGCAGCGCGGATCCTAGACAGGTCATTCGTCGGGACCCAAGCTTCTGCGATCAGGGTACGTCGCTGGCGATCAAATGAGAAGAGATTGAGGGTCTGGTATGCAGCTTTCTCCTTGGTGATGAGGATCATCCAAGCGGACAGAGACTGGGCAATCTGTGTGAGCTCAGCCTCAAGCGTCTGCTGTGTGTTCTGCAGGACGTTCTGCACATCATTGAGACGGGCGTTGACCTCGTGAATCTGATCCCTGCGGAGATCCGAGTTCTCATCGACGCTGTAGATCTCGGCACCCATGGACTCGGAGATCTTGCGAATCTTGGCCAGGATTTCCTTGCCGTGGGCGAAAATGACGAAGACGTTCTTGTTGACCGTCTCGTTCGTGCTGGGGTTGGCCAAGGGCTCCGGAATCTCGGACTGATTCATGTACAAGTTGCCTCGAAGAGTCCGCCACAGAATGCGCTCGAATGCAGCGACGCGGTCTCTGGGGATGACTCCAGCGACGCGGTCTCTGGGGATGACTCCAGCGACGAATCCGATATTCATGCCACCGAAGGAGCGCTCGGCGTCGGGGGCCTGGCTGTGCTGCTCGACATCGCGGAGCAGGGGCGCATCATCCTCCTCGGTGGAGGCGCGGATCTCCTCCACATTGCCGTGGGCACGGTCGAAGAAGCCGCCGGCTTCCCGGAGAACCCATCGCCACTCGGTCAGTTCGACTTCTGTCTTCTTGAGAGTCTCGTAGCTGTCGTTGAGCTGGAAGATGCGCTGCTCGAGACTCTGGCTGCGTTCAGCCAGCTCATCGATCTCGGTGGTCGTAGGAGGAGGAAGCGTCTCGTTGTCGAGGTCGAATTTCCGGACTGGGATCTCGGACTTGTCCATCTGCGCGTGGAAGTAGCCTGTCGCATTGAGTTGTGAGTAATCATTCGATGTCGCAGAAATGCTTACGCAGCTGGCGCTCGACATTGTCGAGTCTTCGGATCTCTTGGGTGAATGTGCGCTGGAAGGCATTGACACCTTTGTTGAGCTGTTGCGTCCTGGTCAGCATACGTTCGGCAGAGGGCTAGGCAGCCAGCACTGGGGAAGAGACGGACATCGCGGAACTGGACGAGGCCAAGCTCGCCAAGGGCGTTGACGCATTCGCGGCCGATTTCATTCGAGATGTAGAGCTGCACCATGCTCATGTCCGCCGAGCGGAACATGGACTGCTGCGATGGCGCCATGGTTGCGGCGATGGGAGTCCCTACGTAGGGTCGTCGCCAATGATGATGACTTTGTAAGGGGAGAACGGACAGCTTGAAGACGGCAGCTGCAGCTGCAAGGTGAAACGGACGCGGCACTGCGCTGTGGCTAGAGCGCCCAGTGTAGGTCCACATGAGTGGGCCCAGCCCGTGGGTGGTTCTACCCAGAACGCTGGCCAGCCTGGTGCCTGCCCAGGTGCGTGCTGGGTAGAGGCACTCTGTGGCGCAGTCAAGGCGCCTCTACCGGGTAGGTCCGCTCGAGACAGTGACCGCCCTCGCCGCCTAGATGCAGGCCTGCAGGCAGGAAGAGGCTGAGGTATTGCGCTCTGTAAAATAGTAGAAGCGCGTATGATGACCAAAGCTGGAACATCTGGTGAGCGGCTGTTACTAGAGGTGTTGAGCTCGAGATAGAGCCGCCTAAGCTGTACGTTGACGGCTGTCTTATGCTCGCTAAGGTGCATTCCCATACACCGATCTATGATCGAGTAAGTTGAGGTCGCTCAACAATGAATAATACGCTAGCCGTAAAAAGAGGTAATCTTGAAGCTGGGGCCTGGGATGCTTAGAATGGCCCTGGCGTTATGCCGCATAGGGATTGCGCGGATAGGGGGCAAGAGATTTTCACGAGCTGGAGCATGGGACCAGAAACGGGGTATCGTGGGGCATGTAAGTAGTAGTGGAGTATGGCAGGATTAGGGACCCTGTCGGTGAATAAGGTTTCAAGGTCATTATCTATTTGTGCTATAGCCACTTCTGGCTTTTGATTACGTATAAAGCAGTAGACGTCTGATACTTGTGCTACAGGATAACAGCTGAGCCAAATATCCTGTGGACCTGTTCGCTGGAGTATTGTGTATCAGCAACATAATGGAGAGCTTTCTAAAAGGTCGCACTAGGGCGCAAGAAGTGAATTTCAAGAAGAACTCGCCTATAGCTGCTCAGAGACCGGTCAACCTCGGCAGGCAATGTGACGCTTTTGTGCTCCACGTTATAATTAACCCAGCCAGCAGCCAGTTGGAGGGAGGATCCCGTTTATTAGAAGGGACGCCGATGCCCGATGTCAACGAGTTTGTATGGTGTTCAGATCTGTCATGAAAATCTCAGCTAACGATTGAAAACCAAACTTCACTCAGTGACGAGAGCAGTTATCAGCACCAGACCACTCCCGCCTTTTTGATACTGACAAACCAAGCACTCAAACAGAACATCACAGCAATTTTGAGGGGTTTGCGACCGCAGCACCCTGGCCTCCACCGACCGAGCCTCGGGACAATCATGCGCAAGGGTAGGCCAGGGCCCCACGGAGATCATCCGCCACGCATAGCTATGCCACAATCACTGACCACAGCCTCGACTCTCTGTTGGAACTGTCCCTGTTGAAGCTTGGGTCGGGCGCTTCTGATCACTGAAGCGTTGTCGTAGGCCAACGACCCTTGCAATAGGATAATGTTCGCGCAGCGCACGAGGGCGGACGGAAACAGTGACAATTTTTGAAAATACCTACTTATATGCCACAAAATGTGTTTACGTGATGAGAAAGAGGTGGTTTTGAGCTTGCCGCGATTCCTAGCGAGTTTAGAGGAGTAACTGATGCTTCTGTAATCCAATGTGACTTGTGGTTCAAATCTAGTTCGATGCTTGGTTCACTACCCGGAACTAATCCCGCGCTGGGCCGTGCCGTGCCGTCCCTCGTCTCATTTATGGTCAGATGAGCTAGTTCGGGTGAAGGCCAGGGGCCTAGACCCATTTCCATCGGCGTCAGAGTTGGGTGCATTAATAGATGAATCTGCCAGTCCGCCACTCACTGGATGACCCTGACCAGCTGCAATCTAGGAGTACATCTCAGGGGCCGACAGAGTCAAGGACAATTATTGTCAAGCACCACGAACTTCAGGTGTTAACAAAAGACTCCCGACTGGTCCACCACGCCGGAGCGCGCCTCCGTCACTAAGTCCGCTTCTCGGTACGGTTGTGAACAACTCTGCCTTGCTGAGGTGGCCGCCCATGCTGAGCTAGGACTTGTGCGCTTGTACGGAGAAGACCATGAAGTGCTTGGCTGAACGTGCTGGGGGGAGAGACCCACATATGCTGGACAGCACCAGTCACAGTTTGGCGTCGATGAGCGATAAGTGCAAGCAGCACAGACTCTGATTGGGTCCTAGAACGACCAAAACCTAATAGGTCGTGACAAGATAGGCGTTATCCTTAGCTATGCTTCTCCTACACGGTTGGTGGAACTGCTCATGCAGGACACATCGCCTGGTGAGCAGGGTATGCCGCACATTGGCCTGTTTTCCACCCCAGTGCACGAGGACAGTGTCCCCTCCTCAGCCTGCCGCCCTAGGTTCCGCACGATAAGAGTTGTCATCTAACAATCGCAGGCAAGCTTAGATTTACGGGACGAAGACCATGGTCGAGTTCCGGCACTATCTCTGAGACCGCTGACAAACACTAGTATAAATAATCCGCAAGTCTCCAGTCACTTCTAGAACATCCTCCTTCTACTCCTCATATAGCAAAGCTTGAGCCTCTTCATGAATCGCTACACAGAATTAAAGTACGGACCCCTAGCGACCTCCCTTCCGTCAACAATGGACAACCAGCAGCAGGGCATTGGCCTCCATCGGGAGCGAGTATATGAAAGATATAGCAACTCCAAAGTCATCAGCGCCTGCAAAGCACTCAGGTATCTTATTGAGCCTGATGTTATGTGTAGCGAAGAACGGAAGTGGTTAAGAGAAGAGGCCGCTTATAATTCCGATGTTAGAGTCTTCGCAGAAGAGATCAGAAGACTATACAGGTACGTACTAAGATCTCCATATCCTAATATCTTGCTAAGACTCCTTCAAGAATTCAGGCGCCCGACGGAACAACAACTATATCGGTGGGCGCAACTCTCTGGAGAGAATTGTGAGATGAACATAATGTATTATTGGGTTGTGCCAGCCAGCACTTGTAAATTGACCCCCAGACAGCCTGCGTTAAGCCTGCCGGTTCGAAACGACGACATGGATTTGAACACTATCACTTCTTATAAAGAGACTGTAGTCGCCCTGCTCAGCGAGTAGTGCCCTTCGGAGACATCGTCATCCGCCGAGGGAACCGTACCTGGTCTCCATCAGTCCCTATTGTCCTTCTTTAACACGGTCGCTTCCTGCTTTCCTTTCTTAGAATCATGATCGTAGTGAGGATAGTAGAAAGGTCCTCTAAGGAGCTACTAAGCTAGGAATGGTGATGCCTAGCCTAGCACGAATGCTGGTGATAATGGCTGGTAGAAATCCTGCGCTTGTTAAGTGGTGAGCCTTTGCTTAAAGACTTGTTATCTCAAAAACTCGTAAGTGCAGTGAGTAAGCGAGGAAATGACTATGTATACAGTAGTACCTAATACTACGAGTTGTTAGTGGTATCTAAGCGACTGAATTTATTGTGCGATCTAAGTATGTATTATGTCCTAGTAGAGTCCCACTGCGCGTCTCTTGCGTCGTCTGTTCCTGCTTCCGACCTCACGGCCTCGCATATTTGTAAGGCAGTTGCTACACCGGCGTGAACGAATGGCTACACCGGCGTCACTCTTACACAGGCGTCACTTCCATGGCCTCTGATTCGCTCTTTTTTCCTTCGACCCACAGGTACATCGGCGCAAAGGCGGTGAAGCCAGCTCCATTAACAAGTCCCTCAGCTTCGGTAAAGAACCAATAGGGTCAACCCAGGTCTAAATCGAGCTCATAACAAGATCTGCAGAACAAGACCAATTCAAGTATGCTCTAGATGCCAGCTCTCCATATCGCTATCCTCTCACTACTATCGAGGGAAGTACCTCCTCGTCGCTGTCAAGCAGCTCCCACTGACTCCTTCGCCTACGAATGCTAGGCTGCGTCTGCCGCCCGCTGGCACGTACTCCTGTAGTTCTTCCAGCTCCAAGAACAACTGACCGGCTGCGCGTTTGGCGCTGGGATGGGGTACTGGCCTGGTTACTAGCCTGGCTGCTGGTCTGTTGGCTCACTTCCAGTGGAAGCCTAGCTAGCGTTGACTTGTTGAGACTTCCCGGTGGTCGACCACGTCTGCGCCGTGGTGACTTGCTTGCTGGTTTGTTGGCTGGCTGGCTACTGGGCTGGCTGCTTGCCCCGATGGCTAGCCGCGCTGGAACAACCTGCGTGGTGTTCTTAGGTCTGCCCCGGAGAGCAGTGGCGATCTTAGGGTCGAGGATTCGTCGGTATGGATCTCGAGAGGATGGCTCTCGTAGGCGCCACCGAGGATGGACCTCCCATTTGGTGAAAGGCGTGCCACTTCCCAGCTTTGAGTAGATTGTGTGACAGCAGGGGATTCCAAGTTCGGTCGAAACCGAGCATTCCTCGCCGCAATCCCCGAGAGGGTCAGGAAACGGATTCTTTCCTGTCGGCATTGCTTTCCTTGCCAGCCGATATTGTTTCGTGATCAGTCCGAGACCCTTCGAAGAGAGCGCTATTCGGAGTTCGCCAAGATACTCCGAGCTGGACCCCATATACTCTCGTGCGGTAAGTACCTCATCCGCTGCGCAGGCATCGTTGAAATCCCGCTCTTGGTCCTTCATCATGTCCTGCATAGCCTCAAAAAGGCGATAAAGATTGCTCATACCATTCAGAAGATAGCTCTTGATGTTGTTGTTGCTTGCTTCTGTACCAGAGGTGACACGGACCCCGAAATTGCGATACTTCCGGATGAAACAGCGGGCCCATTGGGCCCTGACGGGCATGTAGGTTCCATGGAGATACCGCAGGATAGCTCGCTGGTCATCAAACTCCTTACAGAGGTTTGCCCATGCCTCGTCGTGGGCCTCCTCCGTCTCAGCAAATAAGACGAGCTTCCACATGATGAGAACTCCTCGATAGTTATGAGGGATAGCCTCGGTTATTGGCGTGTGAACCAACTCTCGGTCTTGAGGGGTTAGTTGAGCTTGTGGCTGCGGGGTAGTTGCCTCTCCGTCGCTGGTACCAGGGCTACTTCTGCTGCTGCTGCGGGCGTTAACCCACCTCTGCTTTGACTTAAGCAGGATGTTCGAATTGATGTGGTGGATGCACAGCTGCTGCTGTACATCGGGGAACTGGTCGTTCAATGCGGCTTTCATCTGGTCGTCGAAATCGGTGACGATCACATCCGGTCGCCGGATGGAGTGCTGCTCTGCTAGCTGTCGAATGCTCTCGGAGAGGAATTGGAACCCTTCTCTCCTCTCGTTATCTATCAGACCGAAGGCAGCGTTATAGACAGAGCCAAGGCATGTCTGTCCCGTTGCTTGGAATAAGGGAAGCTTGAAGCGGTTCGTGTTATATGTGTTGTCGAAGCTGATCACCTCGGGGAACCGCTTCCACATCTGGAGGCAGTAAGGAAATGTCCAGACAAGGCCAACAAGACGGTTTGGCTCATCGTCTCCCCACTTAACGAGATAGGGAACCTTCATCTCGTCAAGCAGCTTGATCAGTGCTGCAGTAGGAGTATGGCCATCCAGCTTGTCTCGGTTGATACGAGATCTGGCGTTATAGATGTCTTTCCGTGTAAAGGATGATTCGGGATGCTGCTCCTGGACGATAGCACGTACGTCACGGGCCCGAATTCCGACCCGACGGCTTGTCGATTCGACCGTTGTCCTGATAGGCTCGGTGAGTCTCCGATGGGAGGGATGAGCAGATGGCCCGATGCTGCGGCCGTGGTTATGCTGGCTGTGTTCGGGCTTCGAGTGTTGTCGTAAGAGCCACTTCCCCTCTTCTAACGCCTCGGCAACAACCATCCATTTACATCCACACTTTCGAGACTTCCGTCGTCGAAGTCCTGCGCCTTGACTAGGGGCTGGTTCTCCGAATCGATCGCATTGAAAAGTGTACCGGATCCTCCGACCCTTATATGAATGTGCATTTCGTCGAACAATACCGAAGCCATTAGCCTTCGCGAAAGTATTCACCCACTCGAACAGGACTTCGGCTGACGGCGCTGGGTCGCCTGGGATAGCTGGGTTCGGGATCCCGTCAGGGACAGGCGATGACGAGAGGTCGGGCAAGGGCGGTGAAGCTATAGTCGGAGAGTGCCTGTCTCGGGGAGGCGAGTAGGGCGGAGGTGATTCGAGTGCATCTGAACTAAGCGGCGAGTAACCCCATCTCTCACGCCATTGGCGGACTTGTTCGTATGACCGGACGAGCTCGAGGGTTAGTCTCCGGTGTGTCCCAATCACCTCGCGTACTAGCTTGAGAACAGAATGAAACTCGGCCTTGGTGGGAGAGGGATGCTCTTGTACTGATTGCGGTGGAGAGGAGCGAGGTAGTTGGTCCGTTTCTGGGCCTGGTATAGGGATTCTAACTCGTTGGGACCGTCTTCCTTGGGATGGGAAATCGTTCGAAAGGTGAATCTCTTGATCGAATCGTAGCCCCCATGGTGGCTCGTTCAGCCCGCGCGATCCACGGGGCCGTGGCGCGGTCGTCAACGTCTCTGGATATGAGGCGAAAAGATTATAGAGTGCTTCATCGTCGCCGACGCCGTAGTGTCGGCCAATGCTCGTGCCTGTGCTATTAGAGGAAGGTGGTCTTGAACTATCAGATTGGTCCTGCCGCTGTCGTTTTCGAGGCCGGAATTGATAGCTTCGTCGTCGTTGGTTGCTTAGGGAGCTAGATGGAGACTCGGGCTGGGACATGACGGCCTCGATCGCGATAGGGAGTGTCGCACGCACGGTGAGAAGATGAGTAAAAGAGTACTTGATTCGACTATGAAAGAAGGAAAGAAGGGTCTCATTTCGGGCAGAAAGTAAAGACCTGCTTTGCGATGCCGATTCTAGATGAGGCTGTTGGCGCGATCTGATACAGCCTGTGTTCGAGTTTTGGTCTCAGCAGGGGTCCAACACACCTCACTCCAGCCCTGTGACCTTAACAAATACCGTATCTTTCGCGAAAATCATTCTAAGTAGGCTCGACATGCGGCAAAGAGGTAATTAGTGTAGTAGCTAGCTGGTGAAGAGCTTCCATAAGGCGCGTCGATCGTTGCGGTGGAGAGGTAAGCCCGAGGTACAACGGGCGCTGTTGGCAGAATCTAAATGCACTAACAAAAAGGGATGGACCAATCAAAGGCCGTAAAAGCGACGCCTGTATAAGAGTGACGCCGGTGTAGCCATTCGTTCACGCCGGTGTAGCAATTGCCTTAAATATACATTTTGGCCGGCTGCCCCAGTCCAATAAGCCAGGGCGGAGCCCAGACTTCCTCCTTTGTAGCCTCATCTGACCACATTCACCCATGCACAGCCCCTCTGCCTTCCCACCGTAGTGGTTGTCTTGAAGCGATTAGCTGCATTAGCTCCTCTTTTTTTTTAGCGAGACATGTCTTGCTCTTCGTTGTATGCTGATCAACGCACGTAACATGGAAGGAAACTCTTGGTTATATGGCAGGCGATGTTGTGAGTGCATGGTCGACTTGTTAGAGGCAGCGTGTTCTTGGTCACGTATTCCGCCCAATAGACAAGCTGCGAGCTTAACGGGAAGCCACGGGGAGTTTTTCGCTTAGTTGATGCATAAGTACCAGGCGTCGTGCAGGGTCCTCGAGCCGATTACGTAACCCGATCAAGGCCCCCTGCATCTTTCTCTTGCCTACCGCACAGTCAGTCAGACTCTGTTGATTTCCACCAAGAGGGACAAATGAATTAACAGGGATTTCACGCATAAGTCGAAGCACATTATACGTCTAACGTGGATTCGAACAGCCGGCCAGCGCTTGGACGCCTGGGCGCCGACTGTGGAGCCCGATCCGATGATAGATGGTAACTCCAGTCAGCTCGGCGACCTCCAGCTTTGCTGCCACGAGATGCAGCGCCGCGGGAAATGTATAGATTTTTCAAGGCACCGTTCCGTCGCCGAGTATCTCAGCTATAACCCTGTAGACTTATAACCTATTCTGTTACGGGCATCTCGCGTAAGTGAGGGTTGAAGGAAGGCTCTTGTTACGGGGGAACCCCACTCGAGTTCCAAGGAAGCAGGACCAGTCAACCTTAACTTAGCCCCACGATATAGCCATTCGTAGGTTACACTTCTGAGCTCCTCCATTCGGCTCAAATGGGCTGCCAATTTTGTAGTGGGAAGCGCGTTATGTGCAGGATCTGTCACTTACACCTTCGCTTTGGGCAGATATGTCGCCAGCCGCGGTTAACGTCGATGGCGATACAAAAGTCGACGAGCATAGCGCTGATACGACGCGAATCTTCCGGGGTTGCCTAGTGTGGGACGAAGTAAGGCTTGGCTGCTCCAATTATGTATTCGATGACACGTGGCATCAGAATCACTGGTATCGTCACCTGTTGCAGGGCTATATAAGCAGGATATCTCAAGTATCTCAGTACCTGGCGCTCGAAAGTAATAGAATATACGCAGGGTACTCCCGTACCTCCCGTACCTCCCGTCTCCGCCCATTTGTCCATGGTGGGGCAGCCTTGCCAGCTCCGCCTCATCCGCCTCGTCCGCCTTTTAGTGAGCATAGACGAACCCTGAGTAAAAGCGTCCTTACTACACTAATTCCCCGAAGCAAGGCTCAGTCACGAAAAGCATACCTCTTGTTCAGCATAGGAGGCGTGAGCCGGACCTGCGTCACGAAAGTGCAAAAGCTCTGGTCGCCTTCAGCTTTCGCATGAAAGCAGTCATGCCACAGCACGTTGGTCCGTGCGCAATCAGCAACCAACACCCAGGAGGAAACTGGCGCGTGAGATTCTGTTTTGTGTCTGGAGCACCTTTTTTCAGGCAGACCGCCACTCAACAATGGCTACCAACGCCCCCACGCCCGATTCGGCCTCATATGCGACGAATCCCTTTCGACACGATCCAGACTTTGTCAAGCCGTCTCAAGAGTTACAGCCATTAGAACGCGCATTCGCCCAGTCTGGCATCCGTACTGCCCTCGTGGGCCCGACTGGCGTGGGAAAGTCGCAACTCGTGATTGAGACCTACCATAAGACGAATGCGGCATTAAAGTACTCATCGGTGTATTGGGTAGGCGCAGAAACAAGACCACACCTTTTGCAAGGCCTCAAGGCCGTTGCTGAGCAACTTGGGATCAGGGATCAGGAGACAACGGAGGCAAATCTGCCCGAACTTGTCGCGCAACGGCTCCGCGACCTGTCAAATGGCTACTGGGTCCTGATTCTAGACGGCGTCACCGACGCCGACGTGCTTCTCAGCACCGGTGGCACCAATGCCGCCACCCTAGGAACCAGAAGCGCCCGCAGGCGCCGCAGACGCCGCACGCGGAAGGGCTTTTGGCACCGCTTGTCAGATGTCTCCCATGGGTCAATCATAGTCACGACAGAAGACGAGCGTGTTGTATCAGCCCTTGGCATCGAGTCTGGCAATACCGTCTCCGTGCGGTCAATGGACCAAGGCCAGGCGATAAGCTTGCTGCAGAAAAAGCTCGACGGCCGACAGCACATCGAGCCGGATTGCAAGGAATTGGTAGATGCACTATAGTACATACCACTAGCCATTACGCAGGCGGCGGCGGAGATATGGCGATCCTCGCTCTCCGTCCGTGCATATCTACAAGGTCTGAAACAAGATGAGGCATCGAAACAAGCTCTCTTCGAATGGCCAAGCCATCATTCACAAAGGGACCGCAGCGCCTCAGACTTCATCATAGCCCAGCAGACGCACAGTCATGAGCACGTCGAGGAAACTCCATCTCGTCCAGAGCCGCATCTCCGCCATTCAGCTCTTATTGCCGAGGGCAAGCCAGACATCTTCACGATGCCCCAAACCGTGCAAGTGGCTGTGAGACACTTGCTGAAGACTAATGGAAGCTCTGGGAACTTCATTTCGCGCTTCATCTCTTGGATGAGTGACAACTTCCCAGAAGCGTACTACGAGCACTGGGATACGTGCCATCACCTATACCCACTTGTCCAAATCATGGCCGAACACCTCCCGGCTGATGCTGGGTTGCTCAGAGAGTGGGCATCAGTACTTTGTCGTTGCAGCCGATATGCCAGGGAACAACACTGGCTCGACGAGGCCCTTCAAATGGCAACAGAGTCACACAAGGCCGCGCTAGAGGTGCACGATCCGACAGACGAGCTGGTTTTGGAGAGCGAACAGTATGTCGGCAGGATCCTGCGTGACAAAGGCCGGCATGAGGAAGCGAGAGTGATATTCTCTCGTCTGTGGGCCACGTGCGGGGAGCATCTCGCCCCCGATGATCCCCTGGCCCTCACCATTGGCGAAGACCTGGCGATCCAGTATTCCTTTACAGGAAATCAAACGGACGCACTAAAGCTGATACAACGTATCCATGGCATTCGGGTAGCGCAAAAAGGGCCGAAAGGAGCCCACCCTACCGACGTGGTCGGTTGTGATTCGAACTTGGGAATAATACTTGGAGTTTGCCGTGAACTATCGCGCGCTGTGGAGGCGTTCGAAGCTGCCATAGTCAAGTCAAGGGAGTTCAACATTGTTTTCAATCATCCTGACATGCTGACCATCAACTCTGAGCTAGCAACAATATACCGAGATCAAAAAAGGTTCAAGAAAGCAGAGAGCCTTTTTTCAGATGTGCTCGATGGGTACAAGAAAACATTCGGCCGCGAGCATAGCCTTACCGTCATTTGTAAGGCCGAGCTGGGAACAACGTACCTACACCAGAGAAATTGGGTCGCTGCGAGCGTTATCTACATCGAAGTGGTCAACGACGGCGAAACCAAGCGCGGCGAAGATCATCTCGAGACCCTAGAGGCCAAATTGAAACTGGCTCGTACCTATTACGAGCAAGGAGATTTCGAGACTGCAGAAAATCAACAAAGGGCAGTGATGGAGACATGCAAGACGAAATTTGGAGACAAGCATCTCCTCACAGCTGAGAGTATGGAAGACCTGGCCTTTTCGCTTGAACAACTTGGTAGGCCTGGCGAAGCCATAATTTTGGCAAAGGAGTGCCTCGAAACTCGCGTCGAGCTTTTGGGTCCGAAGCATACGGACACAGCATTCATTCAGGATGCACTAACCACGTGGGAGAAGAAGTATGCGGCAAAAAATGGAAGTCGCAAGCGTGACCAGAGCCAGCCAGGGGAGCAGAGGAAAAAGAGAGGGAAGTACCGTTCATAGGCGGTACTGTGTTGGAGTGGGGTCGAATTAGTCAGATCAGGGGACTGCGCAATTAGGTATCATTTCAGAAGTCGATTCTTTCGCGATAGCAGACCCACGCAAGCAGTTACCACTACGTGATGTGCGGTGTGTGGTGCGTAGTGTTACGTGTGGGTGTCGCGTGCATTAGTGCTTGCTTAGGGTTCGGGTGAGGGTATCACGATGTGTTGATTGTAGCTACTCTATCATCCCATGTGTCTTTTACCTCTGTCTTGAACGCTCATTCTGTGCATCTTCCTTCATCCCATTTACTGAAAAAGCACATGAGCTGGGAAATAGAGCAGTGGAGGCAACCCCGTGAAATTTATATGCCACCTCGAAGAACTTCCGCTCAAGTCTTTATTTATGCCAGCATCCATATCATTCCAAGGGCGAATGATTATCGTGCTGCCTTCATGGGCTACTATTGCTTGCAAAGTAGCAACATTATCGAGAAAACCGCACACCTAGTGGGCAGCCTGACTCGACTGTCTTTCTTCGCCAGGCTTAGTCGTGTGCTATCAAAGATAACACCATAGCATCATAGTTATGCATAGCGCTGCCATTGGCCAGCATTCTGTATATGTCGCCTAGGCAACAGAGCTACGCCTCTACCGTATTATCCAGCGATACGCCCGAGAGTATGGCCTCAAGAGCATCCCAGCAGTGCTCACCAAGGGGAATTGTCGGACCACGGACCGACCGTGGAAACATGCACCCGAAATGAAATGTGTCCGAACAGTAAGAACAACCACGCCACGTGAGGCAAGTGCTGCATTACATTGCGAGAGTTCGATAAGCAATAGCCATGAGGCCAATAGGTTGAGATTATCAACATTACGCTCCTTGAGCAAGAAGAATGGACTATCGTGCCGAGCGGGAATGTCCAGAGACTAAATAGAGGCTACGTGTCAATACAGCTTCGCCTGCCGCAAGCCAAAGGCATTATACTAGCGCAATATCAGCGCAAATGGTGTTCACATGCAGGCAACGGTACTCACGAAATGCTCCTTCCTGTGACCGTGGTTGCATTGTGTGCCGACCATGAGATTTCAAGACTGCCAGACTTCCGACCAAGTAGCGTAGCGAGGAAGTTTCTTGGGTAGCCTGAGCTGACCGCCGACCCAACGCTGCAGTGCCCTCTTAACGTACAGGCATGGGTTCAAGCTGCTTCCTGCCTAATGGTGATCGCGCAGACGCCGATGACAAAAGAAAATGAGCAGTTCACGCTCGGCTTGCGAGTTCCCCAGCAAGTCCCTTCCAGACCTAGGTAGTGACAACCGCGACGTTGCCGTAGCAGAGTTCGCTAGCCCGCGCGGACGTGTCATATGCCGCAGCTAGAAGCCCCATTGAGATGTAATTCACCATGGTCTCCTCGCCAGCAACATCGGAGTTACTCAAATGACATGATTATGCAGAACCTGTATACAAAACAATAATGGAGGAGACATGAACTCGTCACGTCCGCAGTCTAGAGAAGTTTCAGCTGGTGGCGAATGCTGGCATGTAAGTTTTTGGTCAACGCCACGATAAGCACTGGCTCCTGAGATGTAAGGCTGCTGTCGACCACCGACCTCTTGAGCAGCAGGATGTCGCCGTCGTTGCAAACGAGCAAAACGCAGAAAACACGGCAACGGTGTCCGGCACGCCAAGAAGCTGATCATCAGCGCCTAGGACCCCGGCAAGTACAAGTGGCAGTCCTTTCTCGACGTGCTGTTCATCGTCATTGTCGTCGCGATCGTCGTGACGCGTAATATGACTAGCCCGGGGGAGGTGAGGGAGGAGGACGATGAAACGGAGGCGCGCGGGCCTCGAACTGCGATGCCAGCTCAAGGTCTCTTCCCAAGATGTACGCGAGAGACGAAGTTTGGAAACAGCCCCGAGAATAACAGGCATAGACAGCAGATACAATGGGCCGCAGGACAAACCCACGACAACGACAGAGCCAGAGCCAACAGCGACGCCAGATCTATATCTCCACAAGGCGAGCCGCGTACTGATCTGCACGCTATGTAAGGCAGGCATCCCAGCGGCCGTAGGCGGTCTGGTTACCAACTACCGACAGAGGCACCCGGCTCAAGGGCGGCCAAGGCAGAGCTCCCGGCGTACGGCAGTCCAGCCATCACGCAGCTCCAGGTCCACTCCGGATTCTGCTGTATAGCGTGCCGATTCGTGACAAGAAGCAGGGGCGAAATTCAGAACCACCGGGCTAGAGAGGCGGCCAGCCGTGATCCCAGCCACAGCGAATGTTCGGCAGGCATAGGCCACGCGTACTAGAAAAAGGTGCGACTGCAGTCGCTCTCGTCGGCAAGGCACCGCACGCGGTACTGGGTCCTGGAATCGCCGGCAGCGGGGCAAGTTACCACGCATGCAAGGGCGGAGCCGGGCCCGGACTGCGGCGGTGGAGGTCAAGACTGGGAGGCCCACATGGCGGCGTACGAGGCTAAAGTGGCGACCGACGATGCGGAGCGGGGCCGGACAATCGACCATGAGCCCGGCGTCGACTTTGGAGTCACCGTGGGTCCGCCAGATGGGCTGGGCGGCGCATCTGGCCGGCAAGGACATGGCCGAGCTACGGCGCGCAGCTGAGCCAGATTTATCGCCGAAGGAGTTGGCTAAGCTAAGCCAGGCGGCACGGAAGGAGAGTGAGGAGTCGGAAGCAGCGCTTGCGCGGCTAGGCCAGAGCTTCGACCGCGTGATAACCCGCTGCGGACGACGGATAGGCCAGGTCCCCACCGAGACGCTGTGCTGGCTGGCGAGCCGTGACCCAAACCGGCCGGCGGCGCGACCGTTCGGAACTAAGCAGGTGGTCTAAATGCCAGCTCTGTCAAGCATCCGGGAGGCCCTGGTAATGAACATCGGGACTTCGTGTTGTCAGGAACTAGGCCTCTGTATATCGCTTTGCAGGTCCAGAGGGATTGGAGCGTGAGTATAACACTCGGCGTAATCTACCACATTTGGTGGTGCCTTAATTGAGAATCTGACTGTAGGTCGTTGTGGTGGTGGCCAGCATGGCTGGGGGACACACACAAAGTAGAGATGGTCGGGCTTGGCTGGCAGGATTCCTCCGCCACCAGGATTTTGGAGGTGGTGTTGTGCTGGTTGGTGCCCGCAGCGAGCGAGGACAATGGCCAGCCGCATTCCGACGAGCTGCAGCTTGTCGAGTTGCTAGAAGGTGCTGCCTGCCTGCCTGTCTGCCTGCCTGCCCAAGCACGAGCTGATTCCACGCGTCGCGCCGGCCGCCGGCCCACACCCTTATCCACTAGAGTAGCCGCTGCACGCGGGCCTCACCGCCGCGCGCCGCTCCGTCTCAATCATCGCGCCTGTCAATCGCGACATCGTCTGCGCCATCGCCGCTCCCTCAGAACAGCTCGAATTCGCTCCTGTTCAAAGCCGTGCGCGCGTCCGCGTCTGCGCGTCAGTCAGCACCTGGGCCGCATCACCCGCCCACCCCCAGCCCACACACCTCTACAAGCTTTTCCTCGCCTGCGCCGCGTATAGCAGCCGACATCCATCCTCTTTGCCTGCTGCAAGTCTCATATCATCGTGGGCAGCATCCCTCCTTTTTGCCGCTGGATAGAGACAGGGTCCCCTGCCGCGTGCGCCACGCCAGCGTAGCTCTCTGGGTGCGGATCTTGTAGTAGCTCCTGCTGCGCCATCCGCACAGCACTTGCCACCTCGCCTCCGAGCCTGCGCGCAACTCCAACGCGCCGCTTTGTTGCAGACTCTCCGCTGCTGCCTGGGCCTACTTGCTCTATTTCCCTTTACAAGAGATCGCGCTGAGCTTCAACCGTCCGAGTTCCACCCTCGGCTACTGCTCAGCCGTCCACGCGACCCGGACACGTCGCTTGAATCTCACGCGCGAATATCGGCATAGCAAACAGGTAACGCTCCTGCCAAAGGAGCACGCCAATCTTCAAGGTTCGAAGAACATACGATTCTGCAGCAATGGCCACCGCTCGCAAGCGGCCTCGGCCAGAGGAGTCCACCGAGAATGTGGCCGAGTGCCCGTTCACCGTCATACATCCGGATCCCAATGAGAAGGAGAAGAAGACAAAGCGGCGCCGTGGCGGTTCAGAGGATCGGCCCGCGCCTCCGCCAAAAATTCACCTCCAGGTCTCGCCATTCTCTCCGATCGGCAAGTTCAACGCCAAGGACAACACCATGGACCGCCACTACCAGATCGCTCCGTTTGCCAAGTGGATGGACATGACCAGATATAACAGCTTCGTTTGTACGCGCCCCCCCCTCATACCGCCCCCTCCTTTGTCTCAATCTGTCTTGTGATGTCTCCTGCTTCGTCCTCTGACAACTTGTACCTTGATCGATACTGACATGCGGGTGCATAGTGAATGGTGTCAAGTACCACAGTGAAGGCTTCGTCCTCGTGGCCAACGACAACACTATTGAGCGCCAGAAGAACCCCGGCGAGTCCCGTCAACCTAGACAGAAGTCGGATGACGACTGGGTCGCAAGGATTCTCGAAATTCGCGCCGCGGACGAGCATCACGTGTATGCGCGCGTCTACTGGATGTACTGGCCTGACGAGCTGCCGGCAGGCACGACAGAAGGAAAGCGAGTCATCAAGGGTAGACAGCCGTACCACGGCAACAACGAGCTCATCGCTTCCAATCACAGTAAGAACTTTTGCGCGCACAAGCTGGCGTAGATTGTGTGGATAACTGACATTCGTCATCTTCATTAGTGGATGTCATCAACGTCACCAGTGTCACGGCAAGCGCTACTGTTCATCAGTGGGTCGAGACGAATGAAGATGAATTACAGCCGGCTCTATACTGGCGCCAAGCTTTTGACGTGCGAAGCATGGACCTCTCGGTATGCCATTCACATTCGCACAGGACGGACTCTAGAAAGTGCCTGCTGCTGAGACTGTACTGACTCATGTGTTGATACCAGTCTGCTGAAGAACATTGCCGCTGCAACCGTCCCGAAAACCCCGACAAGAAACTCACTTGCTGTACCAACGAGGAGTGCGGCAAGTGGCTGCACCACGATTGCCTGGTCCACGAAGCTCTACTCCGCACTTTCGCACGCCTCGGAACCAACAAGCCTCTCAAGCCGACGCCCGTCAAGGACGAGCAAGATAACGAGACTGGCCGCCTGCCTCTGTCGCCCAGCGAGTTCGGAGCAGCACCAACGGCCGAGCCCTCTATTGATGTGAAGCCCGAGGAGCAGAACACTGTTAAGATGGCTGATGTCGAAAACGTGCTTCCCATTATTAAGGCAAAACCATACGAGGGTTATTTCTCTGCCATCATTAGAAGTGACGTCAGTCCGCTAGTTGTCGAGATTACTGATCTGCGGGAAGAAGTGACCGGTGGTCTCAAGGAGTGGACGGAGCCTCTGGACTGCCTTGTTTGTGGTCAGCAAATCCACTAAACCAGGAAACTCTAGCATCTGTTGGCAGAGTTTTGCTGGAGGCATAGACGACAAGGACGATAAAGGTCTGTGGACCAGCCGATCGGTAGACGAGATCTCGCGGGCTCGCCCAGTTTTCGAGGCAAGAAGGAAGCCGACCGGACCTAGGTTACCTAGAGACCCTTCGCGGCATGCGTAGATAATGTCCTCAGACCTACCTACTGTCTTATTCCACCCCGTAATCGAGTCAACTTCCAGGGGTCCACACGCATGCAGTGTCGACCGTGCACACCGCGACGTCCCTCTCGTTTTGGTAAGGCTTTGTTCACCATTTGCGGGCCTCAGTTCATCGATCTTGACCCATACAATCGCCAAATGTATTGCAATGACAACGTGAAGCTCCTTCAGTACGGCGGATTTGGATGTGGCGAGCTTCTCGATGACGGGCCCATGGTGATTGGTGTTGATAAGGAGATCTCGGCTGCCGAGTACGTCGCGGGATGATACCGCACTCAGCGAAACAAGATGGAAACGAGCCGGGAGGTGCCTTGCTTCCATTTCGGGGTACAAGAGCGCCAGCAAGCCGACAGCAGCACAAGCAATGCGGGTTGAGTGGGTACTCAGGGTCAGCCTGCTGGAAGCGGCGGATATCAGGAAGGCAAAACTCAATTACTACACCAAAGCCGTGCACCGACTAAGACCGATGTAAGTATCGTGACTCCAGATTCCTGCTACGATCCCGACTGCTACAGCGAGGCATCCATCTATCACCACATGCAGGTCCTTCATCTCATCCACACTCTCTGCCACGGATCCTTTACAGTCTCTCCTGCCCTCCTTAACTCCTCTCCAGCCCAGTTCGCTTTTGGTCTTCCAAGCGCAAGTGCTTACGGACCTCGTGGTGTCGGAGATTCTTTGTGTCTTTCTTGACTTTCTCGAAAGTTCGAACATAAGCAGGCTGGAGATACTCTTCAATCTGTCCATACGTCTTGTATAGACCCTCGACCAGTTTTTGTCCAACCATCCCTCAATCACGTCACGATCTACGTTAGGCAAGGTTTTCATAGTTCAATAGACAAGGCAATACTTACGTGGTTTCAAAGTCCATTCATTAGCATGGTTATGCAAATTCATAAGTTCCACATCGTCCAAACCTCGGTCAAACAACTCCCAAATGTCGAGAGTGTCTGTGTGCTACTTTCTCTTGAACGTCGTGCCGCGTGAAAGGTTCCTTTGTGCTAACGGCACATGTCAGGGCTTGCCCTGTTGACTCATCTAGAAGGCCGTGCCCTCCGCGCCACTATTATGACGACCTTATCCGCGCATTCGCCTTTTGCGACGTCTAACAGAGATAGATGGAGCACAGCCACACAGCTATCGCGCATCTTCTGGAGCGGCAAATCGCCCTTCGCAAATACATAAGCAGGCTCTACCAAAAGAGGACGGCTTTGATCTGGAGGCTTATTTGTCCTGTTGCGTCAAAATTCCAATCAAGTTGACCTGCTGTCAATTTCGCCATAATATTACGAAATCTACAAGTGCAGAGTATACACGCAGAAATGTAGTCCGAAAGCGGAAACGGGTCTTAGGGTAATGACCTACGTGCCTCCATCTTGAACCCGTGGTCCGCGATTTCAATATTATACATCAGTGGTAAACGAACAATAATTAATGCATGCTCTTCACTTCTCGGCATGCCAGGGGACAAGAGTCAGGCGCCAAGGCAAGGCCCCCGAGAATCACGAGGGCCGAGCACCCCGTTCTCTCGAAACGATAGGAGCCAGTCTATCTCCCGTGCCAGGCACCGCCACAAAACCTTGCAAGGCATACAAGTGTCGGAAAAGAATGAGAACGAATATAATCGGTTGTAAGAGCCTGCCACTTACGCGAACTTCTGCCCATCAACACCAAGATCATACCATACACCACACTATCATCATAAGTGACTCCACAAAACACAGAGAGCACCGACGACGGTTGGTAAGCGACAGCCATATGCTTTCATGGGCAAATGGGATTCCAATGGTCCAGAAGCTCTCAGCACCGAATGTCCAAGTGCGCATCTGACCGATCCAGCTTTTAACATAAGCACACAAGGCAAGTGAAGTTCTCACCACGTGATTTAGCACGTTATGTAAGGCAGAGGGGCATATCACTGATATTATGGACCACTCGTTCAGCGATCTGCAAGACTCCTGCGCTATCTCAAAGAGTTCTGCAGGATGAGACTCTGGCGGAGGTTCCGGAAAGCGACAATCGTGTTGCAGTGCACTCTATAGACCCTGTCCTTTCGCCTATACAGGATCTGGCAAAGGATGCAGTCCACTTATCTCGTATGTTATCTCCAAACAAGTCGTAACTATAAGTCCCAGCTCAATGCCTGCATACATCGTGCAAAATTGAGTTGTAATTGTTCAACGAGATCAACTAACAATTTCCCAACACAAGCAGGCAGTGGTCCTGGTAGCCAGCTGGAAGCCACCACCGAGCCGATATCAGCATGCCCACCATTTCCGACAGAGTCCACACACCAGGCGCCGGATAACACATCGTCTACGCCTTAGAGAGAGATCAATATTGGACAAGTCTTAGGACCGATAGTTCACGCGGGAGAAAGCGAGCTCGAACTTGCTTCTGGCCAACGAACTTCTGATCGAGCCTCCGAGGATGCTAGAATCAACTATCATGACTTCCCTGCAACGCAGCCATGTAATGGCGTCACAAGTCCATGCGCCCATGCCGAATCAATTGGAACGCCGGCAGAAAGAGGATCTCACCAGAGTTTGGTCATCATCAGCACCTTCATGCCGAACAAACGCAAACCTCACAGTCAGACTCTGTTATGGAAACACCGGTAGCCAAGTATACTGCAAGATTTGAGGAATGGCCACTACCGAACTCGTTCTTGCAGCGTACCACGATAGGCACTCGAACAACCTTTCGGCTCGGAATTACATGGAATGCCAACACGTTCGGGGACTGCCATCAAACGGGAAGCTGGGATCTTGACGGCGCACGACTGGAATCTGTTGGCAACGATGCCTTCCAGCTCCAGTTTTCTTGGGACAAACGAGCAGGCAAAATCATACGTTCTTCAAGCAAGCGATCAGGCTCAGAGCAAAAGAATAGACGAGTTTCCAAGAAGCAGCAGGTCGGAGAATCAGGTGGGTAATTCCCAGCATTGCTCTATAAAGTCTTGCAAGTATAGACTAACGGATACGCCATCAGGCTCTGAAGATAAAGAGTATGGCGTTGAGTGTCTTCTTGAAAAATGGGGAAGAAATACGTTCCTGGTTGAATGGGAAGGTGGCCAGACGAGCTGGGAGAAACAAGACGACATTAATCCTGACCTGATAGCATCCCTTGAGGACGTATTCAAAAGTTTTGGGTGTGGAATTGAGATACTTAAGGTTCGGCCCTTCAAGCAGGGCAGGAATTGTTCCAGGAAGTACCGTGTCAAATGGAAAGCGCCGGGAAGCGGTCAGCAGTCTTGGCTGAGAGCGAGCCAAATCGACTTCAATGTCTACGAGGGTCCGAAGCCGTGGCTGAATTGAAGGGCCACAGGGAAGGAGGAGACCGCATAATGACAGGATCCGCACTATCAAACGGCCTGTTGAATCCTGTACCCCAAGCGGGACGACACAGAAGCCGCCTACGATGCGAGGAAATACGTCCCATAGGACCATGGCGCGGTCTTGATCACGACGCGGTTATCGCGCCTAGTACAGCTAGCACCGCGGGGACACTCACGTAAGCTGGTCAAGGTGGACAGCCCTCTCGGGAGGGCCATCCTCGAGGCGTGGTATGGTGGTGATCTTGGTGAGTGACGTGTTGACCGATTTTAGTCGGTCTTTTCTGACTAGATGCAGGCCCCCGGGCCGGCGACCTCTTGATTCTCCTCGACAGGCTGCCGCTGGCCGGCTACGAGAGGGCCCTGGGCCCTTGACCCTGACCACGCGGACACTCTCATAACCGTCAACAATCTGGACACCTCTACGCAGATTAAGGCAGGCGAGCCGAAGCGGAGGCGATGTATCAGCGAGCGCCGGCCGCCCGAGAGAAGGCCCTTGGACCTGACCGTCCCAACACGCAACTGGTTTTGCGTAACTTAACATTACTGCAGGAAACCACAGTTGAGACGACACTCTGTGCTTTAGAGCCAGTAGCTGACTCAACAAGCAGAGAGTTTCAGGGCAGGAAACCTCTGGAAGAGGGCTACGACGAAGCTCCTGGTTCTTCTCTGCACCGAGCGTATTAATGTGTCAAAGGGTCAAGTCGGCGGAAACGACGACAGTTAGCGGCAGGCTGTGGCTTTGTGCTTCCTGGGTTTGCTTTTCGTGGATAGATGCTTAACTTAACCACGCTAGTATCGATGAAGACCCGACTTCTACGGTAGGAATGATGCCAGACAATGCCGCAGACTCGATCAGCAATTTTGAATCGAAAATCTCGAGGCAGTAAGGGGAAGACTGTGCTGCTTAATTGCGTGATGCTGCTGGGTAGCTGTGATCAGAAGACCATCAGGCACTCAGCACAAAGCGTACGGGTCAAATATGGCTGCGAAAGCTGCAAGACCCACAATTTAATGGCCATGCTGCAGTCAAGTGCGACTCAACCTGCCTCTTAAAAAAGCTAAGAGATTGAGGTGCATGAAATCGCGGCTTGCATGCAAGCACTTTGTCTTAAGAGTTGAGACAGGACAAATCCCCTGCGGCAGGTGGTGCTTCTGGCCCATTCCACCATGGCGTGGTTGCAGCGGGCGACAATCGGTTGTCTTAATCGCAAGTCGTGCATGCACATGGGAGATGCTGCTTCCTGTCGGTGTGTCTTTCTCCAGACTTTGTACATGTGGTTCAAGGGATCTGGTCGAGGTTCTCTCAGTCCACAACAACATATGCATTGCAGACCTCATCTTTTGCCACCCATGCTGGCATCAGCCTTTTATGATATTGCTCTGCATCCAGCAGTTTTCTGCGCGTATTCGACTAAGCTGCCTCACTGGAGGTAGACCTTGCCCGTCTTCCTGATTCATCAAAACCGTGGCCACCTCAATGATGATACTATAGTACACAACCGCCAAGTCCCGTCGACTGTTGTTGTTGTAGACATACTCGTGTTGTATGTTTCGTGTTTCTGTGTTTTTATATGTGAGTTCGTTTTCTGTAAGTCTGTGGTCCTTGCGTCTCGTATGTCAGTCTTGGGCGACGACGATATATCCCTTTCCTGCTGCTCGGGGTGTACCGGCATCGCTGCAGCTTGCCCTGCCGCTGCATCCTGTGCTCCTCGAGTAGCTGCTCCAGGATGACTTTTTCTTCTTCGAGCCTGGCTTTTTCTTCTTCGAGCCGGGCGACGGACGCTCGCAGCTCTTCGTTCATTGCCAGCCCGCAGTTGATGTGCTGAATTTCGCCATCTGCCGCGCGGACGTTATCGCCGTCGTCGCCGTCGTCGTCGACAATGTGCAACTCTGTGATATCGCTGCTTGCCTGCGTTAAGGCTTTCGAGTCCCGGCGAGTGCTGTTCATCATTCAGAGAATTTTGTCAGTTCGCCGGGAGGTGCGTGCGTCTTTTTCGTGCGGAATAGTCGCGTAGTAAGACGTCGTGCTTACCATTGGCTGTTGTGAACGCTATCTGTGGAGTCGTTCTTAGGCTCTTGGTATCCGCTCATTAAGATTTTACTCTTATATGATTCTCTCGGCTCGTTAGGACGACACGTTGACTGTTCACATCCTCGTCCTTGGGGTGGCATCTCGTCAGACGTGCTAAAGCCAGACCCTGTTGAAGACCTGCTGGCTATATGTCTTGCCTTGTGTTTGCTTCCGTACAGAGTCGCAATCGCTTCTATGAACCAAGTGCTTTGGGCAACAGGGAGGAAGCAACAGTGGACGGCGATGATGGCAAGGGTCAGACTCTAAAAAGTCGCTAGGACCAGCGTGCAAGTTTCTTCAAGGAGGAGGAAGGCCCAACGTGGTCCATTCTGGGAAGTCGACATTAACATAGACTGTGCAACACAGGCGCGTCAACAGCATGTCATCCTATCGTAATGTTGCGCACGAACCCACTCAGAAACCCCGGCTGTGGGTCCGCAGCCAATCACAGCCCTGCCCCACTGTCTCTTATGTCCTGAAGTTAGCGTCACAGTGGTCTAGATTCATTCCCCATGCTGCAGGAGCACATCCGCATGGCCTGGAAGGCCAGATTTGATTAAGATCATGGACATATCCCTCTCTGCGGAACGAAAACGCGCCGTCTATATCCTGCAGCCTGCCACTGTGCCGGTCTCGATGAGTGCGCCGGATCAGGCCATAGCTGGGATTTGAGTCCCTCGGACTCACTTTCACGCTTTCTACAGGCTTTCCAAGCAGAAGCACGGATTCTCATTTCCAGTCGTGGTGAGCAAGAGATCCGAGCAGCATTCAGCCACGAAGACGGCCAACCTGGCTTCGTCGTGAGTAGCATTCTCGCCCAGCGACTGAAGAGCAAGAACGATCACGAACGCGCTCAGATGGCGCGTAGAATAGTCGAAGATGCGATGCGACGTTTTTGTGGGTCTACGACAAACCGACATTCGGGCAAGGTCCGGAGGATATCTTCGACGAGTTCAACGACATCGGCTTCAGAAGCGATGCTGCCGCCTGCAGCGTCCCATCTTGCACAAGTGATCTCCAATGCTGGCTTCTTCTGCGAAGCTTTTGGAAATTTCAAGATTCCATAACAGCGAAGGATCCGCTCGATTTTCAAGTCCGGATGAGACGAGGCAGTATGCGACGGGGCCGTCCGGGATAATCGATAAGCGTTGTCCCAACTGAGCGCACAGGATCGTGTCCCCATACCCGGCAAGTACATGAATCACTGTATCTTGGCACTTTCCCTGTTCCGCGACATCCGTGAGACTCTTCGCAGTGGAATCCAGTCGCAACTGCCTTCGTTTTTCTTTGTTCAGAATTGTGGTACCTTCATTTGTCCAGTGGGCGCCGAGCCAAAGATATAGCTCCTTTTTAAGGTCATCTGCATGGTTAAGTGTCGTACCGTAGAGCACAGAAACCTCCTAGCCTCTGAGTAGATTCATTTTGTTCAGTTTTCCTTGCGCGCAAGATGATATGCTTCAAGGAACTCCTTCTTGCCCAGGGTCTCATTCATGGTGTTGTATACCGCCTCCGTCACCGCCTCGCGGTAGCATGCCTTCACCGCAGAAAACACGCCCACATCCAGGGGTTGGAGCACATGTGATGATGTATGGGCTGGAAGGAATAACAGCCAGATCTTGTTGATGAAGCATTCTGTCATGAATTTGACTGTCGAATGCGACTTGTGGCCGTCGAGAATAAGGGCTCGCCACTGCCCTGGAATGGCAGGTTTTGTATTCGATATAAACACCTCCTTCAGCCATTTCAAGGCAATGTCATTGCTGCTCCACCCATTCGGAGATGTCTCGAAACGCCAGTGCTGCCACTTTTAGAGGTTGATGTCAGGAAACCACTGTTGCTGTACAGACTGTCCCTTGAAGATGACCAATGGAGGGATGAAACCACCGCCTGCAGAAATGCTTCGATTATCGTGATCCACTTTTGGGGCTTGCAGCTTGCTGCATGCTGGAAAGCCGGTGCCAAAGGTTGTTACCATACTTGGACTGCATAGGTTCAAAAATGCCAATCGTGAAGCATGCGTACGACCAAACGCGAGTTCCATTGCAGAATCCGCTATCTTGATTTGCCCAAGAACAAAGAGCTGCATTGTCGCCTGTAACGACTTCCCATTTCCTAAACGTTTTTGGTGTGGTCAGTTCTCCCTCGATGTCTTTTTGTGGCGTTAGTCTTGTTCCTTTTGAGCCGGTTTCTAAGAATATCAACACGCCACCAAGACCAAGACAGCGTCCGGCGCGGTGCGGGGAGACACTAGAAAGTGGCGGTCTGGTCCGCCGTCACAATGATGGCCACATCCCGTCAGCATGAGCCCCGGTCACTGTGTCGCACGCTTGACCGAAGAAGGGAAGAAGCGGTCGGCCAAACTTTGATATTTTGTGTCACCCAAACAGGAAACCCAGGTGCCCCAGCAAAACCTGTATCGGCAAGGCGATCACCCCAGCCCCTGCCGCAGGGCTCCCGAGAATACTCGTACTGATTGGCCGGCACGGCAAAATAATGGGCATGCAGACCAAGGGCTTGGACGGTAGCCTGTCATGAAGGGGTCAGTCTCTCACAGCTATTGCTGGGGAACCAAACGACAGCAACGACGAGGTTTCAAGCAAAGGGCCAATTACTCCTTAGGGTAGGTAAGTTCAGGCAAGCAGCAAGCCCTCAGAGCATGCGAATCCCTCCCTATTCCCGCTAGCCCTGAAACCGCATCATTTTCCCCGTTGCGTTCTCTACTCCGATTCACTGGCTCGTTTGCTGCACGGACCTGACAAAATGGCAAAGGGAAAAGTGCCCTCCTTCTCCGCAGTCCAAGGCTCATCGGGGGAGTCGCTGATCCCTTCGCAGCAGCCTTCTCTCCATGACCTTTCCCACCGAACGCCCTACCGTTCGCGTCCGTAACAAGGGTCAACAAGCAGAGCCCACCATGACCTCAGTACCATCTGGGTCGCGAAGCAAAGCACATGGAAAAGAAGTTCCAACGCGAGCGTTGGCACGATACCAATTGCAGCTTCCACAGTATTCCGTCTACTTTTCCGATCGCTGCCCGCTTCCCTGGCTAGTCCCACTGCTCCGGCTCCGCACACTTCCCGATCGTGGGATCCTTGCACAATGATGACTTTTAGCTTTGCCTTGTTTCACCCAGCAGGCTGCACAGCCCACCGAGGTGGTTACGTACTCGGGTAAGTGTTGCTCGAAGCTCCCCTGCGACCGTGTTGCTCGGCACAAAGAATGGCAATGGCATTATGGAATCTTCCCCCTTCTTGGCCCCGCAGAAAATCAAAGTCCCCAATATGCGTCTGACTGGTGGTTCATGCTGATGTCACGCATGCACTGAGTCCACTGCATGATGCCCTGAAGGAGGAAGTGGCTGGGAGCACAGGGGGTCCGGTCAGAGAGCGCCTGGTCAAAACAGACGAATATTAGCGATGCAAATATGTACCGCGTAAGGCATTATAGGCCTCAGGGGATGTCCAGTCACCATCGTTGGCCAAAGAATTAGTCGATTGCTGCATTATGTTGTTCATCACTGGAAATGAGTTCAGGGTGAGAGTTACAGTGTGAAAGGTCTGAGCATGTTAAGTAAGGTCCACGATCGCTGTTCAAGCAGCTACTGAACATAGCCCTCTCTGATCCTTGGAGTTACATGTCCTATTGCGAACCCAAGGGCTCCATGTTTTTGATGATCACCCGGCTCATCGTCAATCCACGACAGTGAGCGACGACGGGGGCCGCTCGCCGGTTTGAAAATGCGAAGTATTTATGCCGAAAGGTGGTCCCACAATCGACGCCCCAGAACCACGGATGGGACATATAGGCAGGAGCTTGTGGCTCCCAAACTCTCATTTTTTACGATCGGAATTGGGCTCGGATTGGTGATTCTCGAGAGCTTCGTTCCTCAATCTCCAGAATCACAGGCATCGACTCGCAAAATATCAGCAATACCCGAAACGGAGGGGATTTACTGCGCCTACCAAGAATCGGCAGGCGTATGTCGTGGGCGTCCAACAGAGATACCGAGCGACTGGAAGACCGAGCGTACTCGCTACTCGGCATTTTCGACGTCAGGATGGCCATGCTTTATGGGGAGGGCCAACGTGCATTCGCACGTTTACAAGAGGAGATCCTCAAGTGCAACGAAGATGCCTCAATACTGGTTTGGAGTTACGAAGAAGGAGATTCGCACCAAGCGGCCTCGCCCCGTCTCCTGCACACTTCCGCAGCTACCGTGACCTCGTGGGGCGATGCCGCCCAGGAAGATCCAGGGACAATGTACGCATCGTGCATTTAGATCTTCAGATGACGCCAACAGGCCTACTGGCGGCGCCGAAAGTATGGCCAGATCCATTCGATAAACACAGAGCCTATGCCATTATCGCGGAAGCGCGGAGGAGATCTGGAAAACCTCATAAGGTCCTCGTCATTCCTGTCATGTACACAACTCTGGCTCAAAAACGGAAATCTGCTCTGGATTGTGTTCGCTATGCGACACCACTCTGGGTTGAGTACAACGTCGTCAAACCTACGATTCCGACCTCTTTATGCTTCGTCAGACGATCGCAAGCTGTGCGTCCAACCAGCGCGGTTGATGGATTCAGCTTGAGTTCGCTGGTTTGGGCTGGATTTGAGACGACATTTTCCTATCCGTTGCAGGCACAAAACCATCGCCGTCACTTCCCAGTCACCCTCAGAGGGCCTGCTCATCAATCACAAGACGGACCAACAGAGCGCACCTTCGTCTTGGAAATACAACGACGTACAGATCCGGGATGCAAGGTCGTGATACTGGTCGACTATTTGACCTTTGGTACGGGAATTGTGCGAGGAACGGAAGTCATCACTTCTGTCTATAAGTCAAGCGAGTTCCTCGATCTCGGATCTGCCATATGGCTAGCAGAGAGAGGAAGTCATCGTCAAAAGCTCGCTCGCTACGGACTCCTGGATGTCAATGGGCGGCAAATTCCACTTCATAAAGTCATCACAGTTAGCCCATTCACGAACTACTGGCTAGATTCCGGGGACGATGACCAGGACCACCCCTCGACCCATCAGGTCATCCCACCCGAAACACTTTCTCTCTGCGTCATGTTCCGGGAGGAGGCTCCTGCTCGCAATGAGTGCCTCGTCGACAAGTGAGAGACGTCCAACTGCCGCTATCCCGGCAATCGATTCAGAGACACAGGAAAAAGCTCAATACCAGATGACTGGAACATCTTTGAGATGATGGAATCACGTGCCCGAAGGTCCATAAGTAGCAGGGCCGTGCCATGCCATCGAACATTTGGACTGGTTTCGGGGTAATTTGTCCAGCATACTACACATACCAGAGGATTGAGTGGCGTAGGCCGTGGATCACACGAAAGGACGATGTTCAGAAGGATGTGGAGGCATAAATTGCCACTGGAATTGCTATCACCCGTTTTCTAACTGCACTTCCGTGCGGAGGACAGTCATAAAGCACTGGAATAACCAGTTAGGCTAGTGATCAGCTAGCAATGTTGGAGTCATGCTTGAGAATTTATGTGAGCAAAGCAAGGGCCGGTACTCCAGTCTCATATACAACGCATGTTGCGTTTCGATCGGCACGTCAACCGAGTCGTTCTTGGTGCAAGTGTGAGCCCCGCTATCGATCTCCGGCAGACAACGACAGCAGATGGCGAGCATTACGCCGGGGATACCGTTACTGCAGCATAGATCACTGAGTTTGTGTTCAAGATGACTGTTGACGTGTCAAACACAAGTCAGCCTGATAGAGATGAAATGGGTGCCATGACGGTCGCGTGCTAGCCAGTAAATGCTCGGGGCATGAGAAGTCAGGCGCATCTCGTAAGTTCGGCTGCAGATCGGACTTAGAGCTTAAAAAGTACAACGGCCAGGTGTACCGATGTAAACCCGTCCTCGAAGCGCATGCTAGCTTGCAAGCAAAGTGATATTTTTTAAACAATTCTGGCACTGTGCGCCCATATCAGACGGGCTTCGCGTTTCCTATCCCAACTCTTGTCGCGTGACTGGAGAACACGTGGCAGAAGCGGACCTAGGCAGGGATCCCCCATCCGTGAGCAGGTTTATGATGTCGCTAGTCAAGTCTAGTGCGTCGGCCAATCTGGCAGGTTGGCAGGATTAGCCTGCTCCCAAATCTGACCCATCCATGCTCACGAAGATGGTGAAGAGCCAAGAACTTGTGCTCTCATAACGGCAGGGACGAGGAGAGGAAGCAAAGGCTCCCGGGCTCAATCAAGAGGAGCTCGGAGATTTCGCACAAATCACATATCACTGTGTCACAAGTCAAACCCTGTCACTGACGGGTGTTGTGTTGAAGGCCAGAAGTGGCCTACAAGATGACGTGCTTACAGGTGCAGGTGTGGCAGGTGTGGGAACGGTATAAGCAAACAGCTCCCACATCTGTTATCAAATTGCTGCGTGTTCACTTCGTTGTAAGAATCATGAACATCGCCATTCGTGACCCTATCAATATTAAATGGAATTCCGGCAACCAGCTGTGTGAAGAAACGAAAGTAAGCCTGACCAAATCCAACCCCTTGCATCCAGTCACAGATGACGAGGAACTCCAGCACCACACCGTCTTCGCGCTGTAGCACCCCTGGGACATCGAGAACTTCTTGAATGTCCAGAATTCTTCCGTATAGTCCTGCTGAGGATGGTCCTGAATGGCGTATCGGCCGTCTTTGAGCTGGTCTCTTCTGTTCTCTAGGGCGAGAATCTCCGGGTCTATAGGCAGCGCGTCCCATACATCCTGAGGGACCATATATCGCCGGGCTGCCGGGTCTTTTGTAAGGCTCATATGTCCTAGTAGTTCGATGAGACTGTCCTCGGTAGGCTCATTCAAGAATGCGCTTTGGACGTCGAACTTAACCCGCTGGTTGATGTAAGCACTATTGAATGTTGCCCATTTTGGATCGTGTCGCATGATCTGGTCTCGTACAGCATCCGAGGTTTGACCTTCCTCAATCTGTTAGAAAGATAAGATCGAGAAGGAAGCCATAAAGAGCAAACGAACCATTGACAGCATTTGAAACTCCTCGGCGGAATGCTCTTGGGGTGATGTGATTCTCGAAACCTGCCTCTAGAGATTGTCTCTTTAGGTCGGAACAAAGTTTGCTATAGGGCAGCGGTGTGTCCTGGTCCTCAGGCGATGACTTGCAGCTCCGAAAGACTGGGCGCTTGAGCCATTCTCGCTTCCATCGAAGGGGAAGCGCATGCTGGTTGGCCTTTGGTTCCAACTGGTAGACCTGGGCAGGGCTTTTTATCGCAGATGCTGCGAAGGCACCATCCGCAATGGCCGAGACGATGATCGTATTGATAAAGCAGAAGATAGGGCGCTTCGCTTGTGGGAACGTGTATATCGTTCTGTTCGGTTGTCAGCGATGCGATGGAAAGAAACATCCGTAACAGAATAGGATGCACGTACGGCTTCGGCTTCCGATCTACTCCCTTGTGATGTATCAACTTCACTTGCGTTGCGAGTGAGTTTCCCCCACCTACTGGATCTCTGACGACCATCAGGTTGATATCCTCATAGCACAAGCACTTCGGCCGGCCTCGTCCGGTGGTCTCTTGGGTCAAGAGGTCTCTGAGCTTTCTCGAGTCCTCATCCAGGGCTTCGTCGTCTTCCATTTCTTCTTCGGTATCAAAGGCTTTGGACAACCGTGTGACCTTCCCTCTGTCAATTATCTTCTTCTCATTGTACACAAACTCTGCTGGTCGTGCACCAGTCCCTGACAGAGCCTGGCAGATCCCTGGAAGTGTCAGGATTGGATGACGCTCATTCGGGAAAGTGCCGCGATCGAAAGCGATGTTGAAGATGAGGAGTGCATGGAGATCATCGGCATCCAGCACTGGCTGATCTCTGAAGTTCGGGGGTTGCAAGTTGAAGCGTGGAACCAGAATCTTCTTGTGCCACTACAAAATGCTTATCAGGTCAAATAGCTCGTCAGACAGCGCTCAGGCCAGCTGTCAAAGACACACCTTGCGAAGTTCTAGCGTGACAATTTGAGGAAATGTTTTGCGTGTACAGAGCACGAACAGCTGCTTGAATTGTCGAAAGTAGACCCAGGTAGTCCCATAGGATCTCACCGCGCTCCTCTCGCATATCCAAAGAAGGAAGTCCATAGCAATCGACTTGATGCTCTCACCAGCTTCGAGTAGCACGGTTTGCCAGTCTCCGAGGTTTTGATCGTTGCAGTATCTGCTCAGCCGTCAGTCGCGCCATACACGGTCGTGGGATCTGCAAATCAGTCCACCTACCTCTCCCATCTCTTTGCGGTATCAACAACACCCTTCTGGGTTGCGAGAGACCAGACTGGAGGTATGAAATGTATCGACTCGAGCTTTTTGCGTAGCGCCGCATGCTGTGCATTGTTGAGAGCATCTACGGCGGGTTTTCCACGAAGCTTTGCTTCCCGACTGTGGAATAACCGGAGGAAGTCTTCGTGCGCGTGGGCAGGCACTTGGGTGGCCATGACGTCTTTGTACTCGTTCTGCTGGGCCCCAGCTCTTCGGCGATGAGATCGCGGTTCCTCATTGTGATATATACTACCTATGCCATGGACGATCAATATCTCGTCACCCTCCCAGCGCCCAGACAGGCTGAGTTGCATGAGAAGGGCAGCCCATGCGCACGGCTGTTAGGCATTGGCTGTGTGCCGCGCTGCAGTTGGTTGCCCCACTACAGCGCTTAGAGCCCCCCTGGAAGAGAACAGAATTCTGTCTTCTGCGAAGTACACGATACCTGCACAGAACAGGATGGTGTTCGAGCATCTATTTAATTGACTCCCCAGCTCGCAATTAACAACCCCCCCAGCACCGCCTTTTGTCTCCTCTGTGTAATCATTTTCAATGTTCGGGACGCATAATAGATTTTCCATGATCTGCAGAGCGTTAAATCTCGTTGGTGATCGGTCTCGCTCGACCAGGATTGGTCCGAGGGTATATACAGCGTTAGTTGCTGATCGGCAGAAGAGTCACAACAGACTATTGTTTCGGCAGGGTTTATGCTTGGTGAAACTCTGGGACCTCTGGGACCTCTGGGACTCACTGCCCGTGCAACTCAGCCACTCACTCCAACAACGCCTCGGCGATGAGCTTCTCAAGCCCCCGCACCGTCGCTTTGTCCGTCTTCTGGCTCGCCATGATGTAGAACACGTTGCCAAGGACTCTTGTGTGCGCGGTCCAAGACCCATCGTCGCCACCGCTCCTCAGTCGTGCCTGGAGGTCTGCCGCCGCCGTGCTCTTGTATCCCGAGCCAGCTTCGTCACCGGCGCCCGCGCGCAGGGTGATAGCCAGGACACTTCCTAGCGCCCACACGCCCTCGATGCGGGCCGCCACACGCGAGACCTGATCAACAAAGTCGCTTGACCATACAGACCACACCAGAGGTGCCTCGTTAGCGCATTGCTGCCGCTGCTCGGGCTCCTGCTGGGATGGTCTCCACGCCCAGCTCCAATCACCACTCGCACGCATGCGGTTCATCTCGCGCAGCGACTCGAGCGCCACCTGACAGCCTACAGGGTGAGCAGTGTAGCTGTGCCCATGCAGCAGCGCATCGCTCTTGTCGTCGCTCTCGAACGCCGCGAAGATTGACTCCGACGCCAGGGTCGCGCACAAGGGCACCAGTCCGCCAGTGAGGAGCTTGGCGTGGACCGATATATCTGGGTGCACGCCGAGCAGGGAGGCTGCGCTGAAGCGGCCGAGGCGGTAGAGCCCGACGAAGACCTCGTCGAAAATGACGGGGAGGCCGGACCAGTCCGTGTTCGATGGGCTGTCATCAGGCAGAGAGTGTTGGGTGGAGGTGCTGAAGAGCTGGGAGCCAGATGAGCGTACTACGTCGACAAGCGTGCGTTGGAACAACGGATCGCTGTAGAGTAAAGACCAGTCAGTATGGGCTTCAAAGAGTGGACAGTCGTTCACTCACGCGAGAATCATCCCTCCAGCGCCGAGGACAACTGGCTCCAGCATGAGAGCACCAAACTTGTGCCCTCGAGAGACAAGGCGCTGTAGCTCGCGCAGGATGTGGTCCTCGTAAGCCTTGTGAGTGGCGCTGCCGATCCTCTCATCAAGCCTGAAGACCTCGTCAAGTGACTCAAACGTCTCTCCTCCGCAGCCCAGATCCGCCTGGAGCGCCTCCGGGATATCGACCTGCCACTGCCCTTCATGACATCGAACAGTCGGAAAGTCAAGCCAGTGGCCTTTACCCGTGTACCACTCTACCTTCTCATTGAACACCCCGGGCTCGGAGCAGTCCATCGCGCCCATCGTGTCACCGTGGTAGCTCCCCTTCAGGCCCAGGATGCCAACCTTGTCGTTTGCAGACCATCCATACCGCAGCCTCGCTGCCCGCAGGGCCATCTTGGTCGCGACTTCACAGCCTGTGCTGCCATTGTCGGAGTAGAACACGCGCGCCAGGCGAGGGTTCCGCATGTTCTCGAGCAGCGTCTCCGCCAGCGCGAGAGCGGGCTCGTGGACGGACGAGGCGAACATGACGTGCCCGTAGCGGCCGGCGGCATACGCCGCCGCCAGTGTGAGCTTGGGATTGCCGTGGCCGAGGCCCAGTGTCCACCACGACGCCGATCCGTCGAAGGCGGGCTGCAGGAGCGCCTCATCTGACGCTGCCTTGGGCGAGAGGACCTGGAAGAAGTCGCCGTGCGCCGAGTCGATTGCCGTAATCTGTGAGGCGCTCAGTAGTTTCTGCTGGGTGAAGGGATACCAGATAGTGTCGGTGGCTTTCTGGTTCATGGTCTCAAGCCGGTTGATGCGGTCTTCACGGCGTTTGTCCAGGTTGGCAAGGAGGTCGCGCATCGAGTCGTCGGACGACAATCGCTTGTAGTAGGCACCCATTGACCTGTGTTCGGCCCGATCATCCGTGTTTCTCTGTGGCGGCTTTGGAATAGTGTACACCGGAACATTTGATGGTTGAAAGTAGTCCTGCAGGTAGAGGTGGTTCTCATACTGAGCATCCTGGAACAGCATGATGGCCTCGACATCTTGTCCACGCAGCTTCAGCGACTCGTAGGCGGCCAGGGTCTGGGAGATGCCTCCGAGCTTCGAGTCCCCGACGAGTAGAGCGGGCACACGCATCGGGGCGTAAAGATCCGCCTGTGGCGTGCCGGACGGTCCAGGCGAATGCACGCCACCGGCTGTCTCGATGAACAGCCATCCGGACCCGAGTGCGGCCCTGCGAGCGGCGTGGCTTCGGATCTCGGCGAGGACAGCGCTGTCTAATGGGATTGCCTAGTGGAAGGGTCAGCTGTTGCGATGTTTGCGTGGAGACGAGACTTGATGTTGATGACACTGACCTGTCCCGATAGCTTTGCTGCAGCATGCGGGCTGCATGCAACCTCGTACTGGAACAATGTATCATTTGCGATGTCTGGAGCATAAGTTCGCATATGCCTGTTTCCGTGATCAACATCCATACCTGCGCAGCGTCTCCCATATTCTCAACCTCTGCCTGCCGTTAGCACGCGAATAGAGACAGCCTCAAGGTATGATGCCATTGGGTGGAGTTGGGGACTTACACCAGCTATCGGCCTCATGAGGCGCTCCTGTTGACACGGGCTTCAGGAATGCGACTTTCTCGTGGCTGTAATGTTCGGCCGCCGCTTTGCACAACGTCGTTGCAAAGATCGTCTTGCCGACATCTGTGTTGGAGCCCCATATCTGGAAGACTCTTAAGTGACGCCAGAGAAGTGCTGCTGGTGGATTCATGGCGGTAGACTCGTGGCCCGTGGGACGCCCAGTTGGTAATGTGCTGTCAGAGGTAACAAAGTCACACGGTCTCACAAAGACGGAGGGGACGGCAAGAGTGCTCACGGTAAAAGCTGTAAATGCTAGGGGCGTAGTGGACCAAGGTGACAAGGAGCCAACCTTAACTGCCAACGACCGGGGCCTCTGCATGACAGGGCCAAATACGTCCTGACCGGGATCGGCCTGATGCAGGAACTTATGCACCGAGCTTGTGCACAAGTGGAAGGTCTGGAGTCTGGACCCTTGAGATCCCTTGTGTAGTCGTACCTCGCCTCCAGGTTTTTTCATGTCACTCATTGAACATGGCGAAGAACACGGGCCTTTCAAAGCTCGAGGACAGACTCGCAGCAATCCTCGCTGATCGAGAGACACGCTCACAACGCCGTCGCCTCAGCACCTTCCCACCTCACAGCGTCGACTTCTCCTCGAATTCTTATCTGTCGTTGTCGCTGACTCCAGAGATCCGACAGACCTACCTCGAGCTTCTGAAATCAGTCCCTGACAGCACTCCGTTGTTCGGATCGGGAGGCTCCCGGCTGCTCGACGGCAACAGTCCCCTGAGCGAGGACCTCGAGCGAGAGGTAGCAGCGTTCCACGGAGCACCGACCGGGCTGCTCTTCAACTCGGGCTTTGATGCGAACGCAGGACTGTTCGCATGCCTCACTCAGCCGGGCGATGTGGTGGTGTACGACGAGCTGGCTCATGCCAGCATGCACGACGGCATGCGAGCGAGTCGAGCCGCGCTGTGCGTGCCCTTCAGGCACAACTGTGTTTACCCGGAGCAAGTCCAGCGATGCCAGGATTCGACTACATCCAAGAGGAAAGATGGTCCAAAGAGCCTGAGAGAGACGCTGCACCAGCTCCTAGGCAGTGACGACGAACCTCTCTCAGCAGCACTAAGAAGCGGGGAGCGCAACGTCTTCATCGCTGTCGAGGGCGTGTACAGCATGGACGGCGACGTCGCACCGCTCAAGGACATCGTTGCGTGTATCGAACACCGTCTCCCGCGTGGCAACGGGTACCTGATAGTCGACGAGGCACACTCGACAGGTATCTTTGGGGATCAGGGCCGGGGCTTGGTCTGCGAGCTCGGGCTGGAGGACAAAGTCTTCCTACGGCTGCACACTTTCGGGAAGGCGATGGGAAGTGCCGGTGGTATGTGTTACCACTTTCCTTTAAAAGGTCACGTGCAGAGCTTTGCTGATCAGATCAACACTTCGCTAGCAATCGTGCTCTGCTCGCCCGTGACGCGGGAGTACCTGATCAACTACGCCAGGACACTCGTGTACACGACCGCACTGCCGACCAGCTGCCTCGCCAGCATCAAAGTCACATACGCATTCCTCTCAACCCCCCAGTTCGACGATGTGCGGCAGAAGCTGCGATGGCTGATGCGCTATACCCACAGCGTCCTCGTCGCCATCTGTGCGAGGCACACCACTCAAGACGACCAGCCCACGTCGTCGGACCGACTGCTGATACGTGTAAATCCCACGCCGCCGACATCGCCCATCATCCCGCTCCTGACGTCCCAACCCCGCAGCCTGGCCGCCTTCTGCCAGCAGAGGGGCCTGGTCGTGCGGCCCATCGTGGCGCCCACGGTGCCCGAGGGTTCCGAACGGGTCCGGATTTGCCTGCACGCGGCCAACACAAAAGAGCAGGTCGACCGGCTCGGGCAGGCGATCGAGGAGTGGGGAGTCACGACGTCGCGGGCGGCTGCGAGCGGCCGCCCGCGGGACAAGGCCGCTGGTCCGAGCGCGGCTCAACAGTTTCTTAAACCGAGCCTGTAATTACCTAGTAAGAAAGCAGCTCCCGTTAACCGAGATGAGATCGGCAGCCAACGTGCATGACTGACTGTGAGCGAGTTTCTCTCCTGCACTGATCCTGTCACATTAAGTTACTCCTCAACAATTTTCAATCCAGGGGGAGAGGTCCCCGCCCCAAGCCGCCGCTACGCGAACAAGCTCGGTTGCAATCAACGGCGTGGGGGGCCACCAGCACGAACCCCTGATGACGCGTGATTGAAAGCATGTAAAAGAGCTGCGGGAGGTCCCGCAACCGGCAAGTGACATTGATCTGTGACGCTTGTCGACATCCACTCTCCAGGGGGTCCGTGTGCAGTTGGCGGTGCTTATTCCTCATTACCCGGCTCACGATTGGCCCGCGTGTACGGAAGGTGTGGGAGTTCTGGCCATGGTTAAGGTTCGAACCCCTGGCGATGGGTACCTGGCCGGGCCCCCTCCCTTCTTGTTCGCCGTTGAGGTTGCTTCACAGTGGGAATGGAGCAGGTCATTGATGGACAGGAAAGCTGGTGAGGGGTTTGGAGTGGTTCAGTGTTGTTCGCGAGCATGCTCACACACGACTACTGCTTGAGGGAGATGACTCACTCCCCTGGAAGTGTAGAAAGCTAATCGTACACTGCTCGAGACACGACAACAGCTTCTGCGATGACTCCGCGAGCCGTGTCGAGCATGGTGGCAGGCCCCCTCCGGGCAGCAGCAAGGACTGCCTCGAGAGTCACACCCAACTCTGCAGCCGGCTCGAGGTCGGCGGCTAGCCAAGTTAGAACTGTTGTCGGTGCAGCCACGACCGTGACTGCTCCAGAAGCTGCAGTCCCGCCGATATCATCGCCCAGTCTCCCAAGCAAACCGCTGGCGACGCCGGAGGCAGCATCCACCTGGCAGGAGGTTCGCGATGGCGACACCACGCGGCGGGAGGCGTCGAGAATCCTCCGGGAGGCTGTTGCCGCCACTGCACCGCGGAACGACTGGTCCAAGCAGGAGGTCGCGGCCATCTACTACCACCCTCTACTAGACCTGGCCTTCCAGTCTGTACGTCATGACTTTTATATCCACTGCCATATTGTTGAGCAACCTTGTTAGCATAGTGAGCAATACTGACCGAAACTTTTCCCACGCAGGCCACTATCCACCGCCGCTTCCACAACCCAGCCGAGGTCCAGCTCTGCACCCTCATGAACATCAAGACGGGCGGCTGCACCGAGGACTGCAGCTACTGCGCGCAGTCCACGCGGTACCAGTCCGGCACGGGTCTCGAGGCCAAGAAGGTCGAGTCCGTCGAGTCGGTGCTCGCCGCGGCGCGGGTCGCGCGCGACAGGGGCAGCACGCGGTTCTGCATGGGCGCCGCGTGGCGGGACATGCGCGGCCGCAAGAACGCGCTCAGGAACATCAAGGCCATGGTCGAGGGCGTGCGGGCGCTCGGGATGGAGTCGTGCGTGACGCTGGGCATGATCGACGGCGAGCAGGCCCGGGAGCTGAAGGACGCGGGTTTGACGGCGTATAACCACAACCTCGACACGAGCCGCGAGTTCTACCCGTCCATCATCTCGACGCGGGGCTACGACGAGCGGCTCCGGACTCTGGGCCACGTGCGCGACGCCGGGATCAACGTCTGCTCCGGGGGCATCCTTGGGCTCGGGGAGACCGCGGCGGACCGGATCGGCCTGCTGCATACGGCGGCGACGCTGCCGGCGCACCCGGAGAGCTTCCCCGTCAACGCGCTGGTGCCGATAAAGGGCACACCGCTCGGGGACCGGCCGCCGCTGGACTTCACGACGATGCTGCGGACGATCGCGGCCGCGCGGGTCGTCATGCCCACGACCATCATCCGCATCGCGGCCGGGCGCAAGACGATGACGGAGGAGCAGCAGGCGCTGTGCTTCATGGCCGGGGCGAACGCTATCTTTACGGGCGAGAAGATGCTGACGACGGACTGCAATGGCTGGGATGAGGACAGTGTCTTGTTTGGACGATGGGGGCTGGAGCCGATGAGGAGTTTCCAGAAGTCGCTCGTGCCTGGGGCTCAGTAGATGGTCGTAGAGGTGATAGGTGGACATCACAGAAAGCGATCTTGCTCTGCGACGGAGCAAATGTGCTGCAAATGGTAACGCTTGTGGTTGAACACTGCCTTCGGCGCATCCTCAGGCTGTATTCCGAATGGTCGCCACTAAGCCATCAGTGATCTATACATAGCACTCGTAAGCTTTGGCAGAGACGACTTTTCTACAACGGTCACGATGTCTACAACCCCGTGTTCAACAAATGCTGTCTTTGCAAATCACCAGAGCCAGCCAGTCCGGAGCTCTGCGGCCAAGTACCCGCAACTACTGAATCCTTGCCCAACACTTCAAGCAGTGTCCTTTGAGCACAAGGGCCGCTCCTCTTGACGTCCGATATGCCCTCTGCCAGCGAGCGCGTCTTCGGCACGCCAGAGCTCCTCGAGCTGATCTTCCTGGCCCTTCCACAACGAGACCTTTTCGCGGCAGCCCAGCGAGTCTGCCAGAAGTGGCACAGGCACATCCTGACAAGCATCTGCCTCCAGCGGTTACTTGGCTTCGCCCCTGACGACAACAGACCATCCACCACGCGAGAGCACGGCGACCTGCTCCTCCAGCGCTTCCCCAAGCTGCTCGTACACGATATCCTATGCACACCAACCCAAGGAGCTCTTCTCCAGCGACCCCAGCCCCAGCGTGGCCAGAAGCACGACGACGCCCGTCGGCAAGCCTTGCCATAGCCATCCGCTTCCCTTCGGCGAGCTGGCTGTCGATGCTAGTATCCCGACCGCCCGTCCGTAAGCTCGCTATCGTCGACTAGATGCGCACGTACACCTTTCCCCAGTCCACGGGCCGGCAGTTCCGCGGCGTGTACGATTTCCCCGAGGGGCTGCTCATGGGAGAGCTGATCTTCACGGGCATGCAGCGGCTCGGGCCGGGGTTCCCGGGGGCCCGGACGGACCCGGAGCCGCCTGGCCGGCCTGTGTCGTTCTCGCTGTCATGCCGGAGGACAGATGTCGAGGCTGCGTGCAGGTACTGGGATGGTGGTGCGGAGGAGTCTTATTGGTGCTGGGAGGACCGGGAGCGTGAGACGATGGGCGATGAGGCGGGTGTGCTGGCGGCGCAGACGGATGCGGTGTTGGTGTTCTGGATGGGCAATGTGGACTCTGGAGGACACGTACTGGGCTCACGTGGGGAGGCTTGATTCTTCGAGAGAGACTGTAGATGGACTGGACGTACCGGCTTGACAGACCCAATGGAATAAGGTAGGGGCTTTGTAAAAAAGGAGTAAAGAGAGGTAGACGTTTTCAGCGCGAGAGTCGGGGAACCGCCGTACAACTCGTCAGTCTGTAACATGTACCGGACTCGGGGAAGCTGCAAGCAGTTGCATTGTGTGGCTCGCTCGGTATCAGAGTGCAAAGGTGGTGTTGCTGAGATCACAATATTGAGCGGGGGTCGTGCCTGCCTCGAGCGGTGGAACCACTCCAAGGCATCCATCTGCGTCCTCTTCTCTCCATCGACAACAACACCCGCGTCCGCTCTGCCACAACCCGCATCACCATGCCTCGAGAGGTCTCGCGGCAGAACCCCCAGCGCATCCTGGAGCAGATCGGCCCGCCCACCACGGAGACCTCTCTCCCCGGCACCCCCGCCCGAGGGCCGCATCTGCACCTCCTCACCCTGCCCCCCGAGATCCGCCACCTCATCTGGACCATCTACTACCGCGAGGTCGACCGCCCCTGGTACCGCTACGCCGTCGACGTGGGCCACGAGATCGAGTACACCCGCGTCGTCCCCGTGACGCTGACCCGCACGTGCAAGCAGCTCCTGCACGAGATCACGCCATTCATCTACCGCCCCGTCGCGCTTGACCTGCACATCGTGTACCCGGCGTACTGGCCCGAGCAGATAGCCTACCTGCCGAGCAGAGAGGCCAGGCAGGCCATCGACCACGTCATCTTCCATGTCGCGCAGCCCGAGCACTATGCCTGGTCCAGCGGGCGCCCGCCGAAGCGGCCCGTGAAGTTCTACCGCTTCCCGAACCTGGCCGACTTCACCGTCTGCGTGCCCTTGCACGTCCCCGTCGAGGAGCTCACCCCCGACAACCCCGGGGACAGGTCGCCCGACGTGTACCCGACCTGTCGCGATTTGGCACCACAAAACCGAGACGAAGATCGGTTCATCCCCCGGGAGGTCGTGCAGAAGGCGCAGGACGCATACTCGACGCTCGCGGACACCAAGCGGGTCGCGCTCTGGAGGGACCGATACAGCGCGCAGGCTCTGCTCGACGCCGACGTCGACGAGGACGAGTACGAAGAGGACCAGGACGGCGACTACGAGGGCCAGGGCAGGCACGCGGAAGACAAGGACGACCCCGACGACGACCCGGACCGGCTCGCCCGCTTCCAGGCCATCGCGGCGAGGCTGCGCGTCATGGTCGAGTTCGAGCTGTGGGCGACTGCTGATGCTGAGCTGTTCGAGTCCGGATCGAGACAGCCCCCCAAGGAGATTGACGAACGCCCGCTGCTGCTCCGGCTGGACCCGAGGCGGAGGGAGATTGTCGAGGTGAGGCTGCTGGGCGTGGCCGAGTCCAAATTGCGGAAGAGGCAGAGGGAGGAGGCTACTTGAGGGGAGAGAGATCAATCGGCTCAATAACGTATCGCCGCAATTCAGATCGAACGTGCCGTTCCGAGCACTCGGCTAGACGTCGGTTATGAGAGAACGAGAACGGCGCAATCCTCTTCTCCGCTTCGTTCTCGAGTCCGCAAGATCCAAGTGGCCGCTGAGGATGCTATATGCAGATCGTCCTCGGAGGAATACGCCGAGCTGGAAACCTCCGCTTCTAATTACAATTTGCGAGGGTCAAGTGACGGACGCCGCCGGGGAAGCATTGGGTAATTATGTGTTTCCGTCCACGCGTTCCTGCGCTTGCTAGACCAGCCGCAGATATTGGAATCCCCTCAACTACCTCATTATAGCAGATCGAATTTCTCTGCAATACACGCCATGCGAGAGAACTCACGCAAGGCTTTTCGTCATCAAGGATCCCGTGGCCCCATAGCTTACAGCAAAGAAGATTCAGAGGCTTTGGGCGTCGTACAGAGAGATCCGGTGGTAGTTCGTAGATTCAGGAGTGTGGTCCAAGTCGGTCGGGTGGAAAGCATCTGCACGGCCAGGCTACAAGAACGCTGTACAAGGTGCGTTCCCGACGCCTGTCGCCCAGAGAGAGAGATAGAGAGAGAGTGTGTAACGTACTCCACAAGCGACCCGCCCACTTTCTAGGCACTTACACGACAATGTATAAGTGCATTCAACCACAACGCCTCAAATTAATCAAAACTATTTAGAATCCTCTTCTTCAGAGATAGACTCAACTTTCTGACACGTACGCGCATTATGACCGGGCTCCCCGCAGACGCCACAGCGTCGCGCGCGCGTCTCTGTCCTCCTCGCGCGACCACTATTCTGACTCGTTTCTGCCTGTAACTGCTGCGTCGCATCGATTTGATCCTTCAAGTCCTTTGCCTGATTAATTGTTAGGGATCCTCCTTTCTGTAGCTGCTTTCTCTTTGTACGGCGACGGCGGCTAAGGCGGTCATTTGCATCTCGAAGTTCGGCGAGTTCGTGGCGTACAAGGGTTTGCTCGTGCACCATCATTGCGATTCCTTTATTTAGCTGCCGTAAGCTTGCAATTATTGATGAAGGAGAGCTACCCTGATGCCGTACGATACGATTCTTGATGTATTCAGTCTGCGACCCTAACCCTACCCTCGGCTTCAATCGGGTTGTTTGGCGTCTTCGAGACCCAGGGTGGCGGGAGGCCTGTAGAGGAACCTGGCGGTGTTGGCGTATGAGGCTTCACATCTAGCTGCGAAATGACGTATTCCGCGTCGTACGGTACTAGGCCAGTCGCTCTAAAGCCTGCCTGTATATTTGACTTCGAAATTGCAGCGTCGTACGCCTTGTAAAAGGCTGGGAGGAAGTCTTCCTTCGCGATGTGGGTAATGTGCGCCCGCATAAGACCTTCGATTTCATTTCCGTACGCCCGTTTTAGAGGTCCGAAGCACCCGACATCGAGAGGCTGGAGCTTATGCGACGAATGAGCAGGCATACAGAGGGTAACAATATTCTGTTCTTTGCAGTAGAGCTCGAAATCGACGGAATGGTGGCTCTCGTGGCCGTCGAGGATGAGGAGGCGGTAGGTACCCTTCGTACGACTCTTTGTATGGAAATCGAAGTGTTTTACCCATTCTAGGCCTCTCTCGTTCGTCGTCCAACCGTTTTCTGAAAGCGCGATTACCCAGTCGGCCGGTAGGGGGCTATTCGCGGTCCAGGAGTCGAGGTGGACCTTCCCGGCGAAGATGATATATGGCGGGATTGAATAGCCGTACGACGCGATGCCCTGGATTACTGTAACCCATTCCTGATTCCCTTGTTGTACGGCTCTTGGCCTCCCGCGTCGATCGGAGGTCGTAACGACAGTTTCGGCGGAGATTTTGCCCATCGCGAAGCCCGTTTCGTCGAAGTTGTAGATGTCGTCATCGTGGATCCCGTATTTCGCGATTATGTTTCGTACGAGCTCAAACCATGCGCGATACGCGTCCGGATCTTCGCAGAGGACTCTCTGGTAGTCGATTCGTCGATTAAAACGCGTACGGAGCTCTAGTCGTCGTCGTACGAAGGTTGAGGCCCAGTTCGTCCCGACGCGTCCCGCGTCGCGTTCGCGGAGTAGTCGATCCGCCATTTCTCGCACACCACTTAAGCGCGGCGGAAACGATCGCGAATCTAGGTCGATTATGTATCGTACGATACTGTCCTCTTCGTATGAGGTCAATTTCTGGCAGGATGGTCGGATATCGCGTTTTGGCTGTACACCACGTCGTCGGTCTTGGAGGGCCGTACGAGGGACTTTGTAGATCTGCGCAGCCTTTCGTACGCTTAATTTTGGGTCGGATTGAAGCGCATTTAGCGCAAGAATAAGATCACTTTCAATTGATTGTGGTGGCATAGCTATTCGTGGAGAAAATGAGGAAAGAAGAGAAGTGGCTTAAAATTGGACGAAAGTGGCCGGGTGACCCGTGGATTACGTTATTTAATAAAGGTAAAACTAAATTAAATTTTTAGTAGTCTTGCGGATTCCGCAAGCTCTTTGAATTTATTTGTTTGTATGCGCATGGGCTGACTCTTGCAGCTCTGTTGACAAGGGCAGCAGCATGGGATATGCTTGTAAAATTGTTCCGCGCGCGCATTGAAGACGTTGGAGACCGCTTCCTGCCAGGCAAGGAGGCCAGGACCCCTGCTGTGCAAGAAACTTTATCTTACGAGCCCTCTGCCTTACGAGCCCGGTTGCGGGGGAAGGAAATGCACACGGACGGCGGGCCAGACTCCCGGGCACTCATGGGTATGCATGTCTTGAGTAATAATGCCCGTTCATAATCTAGTCTGCGAGCGGGTAACACTACCAACGACGGCATAAATCAATAATGCAGTAATAACAATCAGGTGAAGTGAGGTGCAGAAGTTCCGCGGATATGAGCCATTCCGTGCCAACTCCCACACCGACACATAAGTACCTATCATTCCTGGCAACCAAGCACTCAAGAGTCCAGGCTCTCCCACTACACCACGGCCAACCTTCCTGTGACTTCGCAATGGCTGTCAAGCACCTCTTATCGGTCCTGGCCATTGGCTTGGCCCTCTCAAGCAAGGGCGCTGCCCAGGTCGTCGAGCCCACGGACTTCAGTATCACCAAGGCCCTCCTGGACAAGGGCATCGATGTCACAACGCTGCCCGGCCTCGCCGAATATGCAGCCGACGAGGGCTCAGTACAGAAGCGCGATACACGTGCCGGCTGTGCAATTGTCGTACGTCCTCCCATGTCCACACTCCGCTCGCATTGTGACAACAGTGCAGATCTAACCCACATTGGATAGTGCAACACCCTTGGATTGATCTACGGCGTCCAAAACACACTCCTCCGCGGCGCCTCGGGCTACTCCAACTTCACCAGCTCGTTCTGGTCCGACAACCAGGCCCAGGTTCGCCCAGCCTGCGTCTTCAAGCCCACAACACCGCTCGAGGTTTCTGTGGGCGTCCTGTTGGCTCGCCTAACGCAGTGCCCCTTCGCAGCAAAGAGTGGAGGGCACGCCGCCTTCGCGGGCGCCTCGAACATCCAGGATGGCATCACCATCTCCTTTGCCAACCTCAAGCGCATCAGCTTGTCAGCCGACAAGAAGATTGCATCCATCCAGCCCGGCAACATCTGGGGCCCAGTCTTCGAGCAGTTGACCAAGTCCGACGTGACTGTCGTCGGTGGCCGTCTCTACAACATTGGTGTCGGCGGCTTGACCTTGGGCGGTGGTATCTCCTACTGGTCCAACAAGTATGGCTGGGCCTGCGACAATGTCGAGAGCTTTGATGTAAGTGCAGCCACGGGGAGAAACCTGGCGATCACTGTCACGACTCTTGTCAGCTGACCCAGCATAGGTCGTTACCGCCAGCGGTGCTATCGTCCGGGCGAGCGCAACTGTGAACAAAGACCTCTACTGGGCACTCAGAGGCGGCGGTAACAACTTCGGCCTGGTCGTCAACTTCAATCTGAGGACGGTGCCCTTGCCTGGGGGGAAGATGTGGGGTGGTTCGCGCGTGTACACGGAGGACAAGTTCCAGGCCGTCGAGAGCGCATTTGGCAAGACGATTGCCAACTCGGCCTCGGACACGAAAGCCGGGCTCTACCTCGTCTACTACTACTCTGCCGGCACCAAACTAGCCATCCCGGCGCTGTACCACGAAGATCCCAATGCCGCTAACGCTCCCATCTTCGCCGACTTCAATGCTATTCAAGCTATTTCCGACACCACCAAGCCCCGCGTGCTCGCCGAATGGGGCAAAGAGACGATGAACGACAGCCCGCCGGGCCTCCGCGAGATGTACTACGCGGTCACGACCAGGGCCGACCCTGAGATCCTCAAGCTCGCCCGTGAGATCTTTTTCCGACGAGTACCCGCGGTGTCAGCCATCCCTGGGATCATCCCCAATCTCGTGATCCAGGGACTCACTGTACCCCAGCTACAGCAAATGCAGAAATACGGTGGCAATGCCCTAGGTCTCGACACCGCCGACGGGCCGCTCTACATTATGCTCATGGCTTCTATGTGGAGCAACGAATCGGACGACGAGACTGTCCACCGCTTCATGTCCGATGTTCTTGCTGAAATCACTAAGGAGGCCCGCGCCCGCGGCCTTGACAACGGCTTTGTCTACATGAACTACGCTAGTCAGTTCCAGGACGTTGTCAGCAGCTATGGTTCTGCCAACAAAGCGAAACTCAAGGCTATCGCATGCATGTACGACCCACAGGGCGTTTTCCAGCAGCTACAGCCCGGTGGCTTCAAGCTGGATCGCGCACCGCTGCCGGACCCGCGCTATTTCTCTAGAGGAGCGCGGGGCGCGTTGGTGATCTAAATGCTACAACAAGGCGGAACAGGAACGATAGATGAAGTGATACCGAAAAGCTGTCTTTCAAGGCCTCTGTGTAGACGCGTTTGTAATTAGATAGGTTTATCATCATAGGCTTGCATACGACAAGAGCAGATGCTTTAGAATCAATTCCTCTTTAATTCTTCATTCATTAGCATTCAGACTCACTATGCTACCGCTGTGATTTATGTTGTTTTCCAGACCATCATTCCTGGCTGGATTATCCTCAGTTACGCGCATCCCGAGCGTAGACTGCATTCTGGGGAACACTCGACGCGGTGGAGGGCTTGCTCCAAACACCGACAGAGAGCGGAGTGTCCGGGTTGCACTCGAAGTCGCTGATCAACCTGTACTGCTTCCAGATCGAGCTGCGAATGTGCACCAGAACGAGGGAATCCCCCAGCACTCGGCCAGAGTGTTGGCGGTGATTGAATTCGACGATACGATTCCGTCAGCACCGATTGGAAGCCTGTGGCGGGCGTGGGAGAGGGACAGGGTCTCAGGCTGTTCTCGTTTCGATCGGGGGTTCCCTAGTCGCATGCGGAGTAGATCAGCTGATCGTCAAACGCATCGAGGCGGTGGCACCGCTCTTGTGCGCTAAGGGTTGCAGGGCTTGCCGGGATTATCAGCTGAGA